TTTTAAACACAAATAAGACCGATTAGCCGTTTTTCCGATAATAAAAATAGTATTAAAATTATTCCCGTATAATTATTATATTTTTTGCTTTTTTTAACGGCTTACGCTTATTTAAGCTTATTTCGAATTTTTTACCTTTATTTAGCTATATTAAAATATATATAAACGGTATATATAACGGGTATTTTATAAAAATCTTTTTTAACGCAAATTCCCTAAAATTATATTCCGCTAAAATTATTTTATATTAGCGTTCGGATTTAGTATAATCCGGGAAAAAGCCAATAATATCGTTAGCAACCGGAAAATTTTTCCGCCGGCGATTTACGCCTTTTTTTAATATTAAACGAAAATTAAAATTTAAAATAACCTATAAGGTTTCGCCGTTTAAACTTTAACGGCGCTATTCGACGATTATTTAGGCAAAACGCTCCTAAATAATCGTATAAATCTTTATATACGGATTACGGTAATAAAAATAATTTAATAGCTAAAGTATTATATTTAAATTAAAGCTATCGTTTAGGCTTATTTATATTAATACGGTTTTTTTCGGGTTTAAAAAATATAATTATTAATACGTCGGCTTAAACCTAGCCTATAACTATAAAAATCCGGTTTTATAATAAAAAGCATTTTATATATAATAATAATTAAGGTTATTATTACTAAATCGGGGTATTTTAAATTTAAATAATACCGAAAGCTATATAAATATAAACGAATAAGCGGTATTATATTACCGTAAAGCATTATAAAACGCTTTATTATAAATATTATGCCTAAAAAGCAGCGCCCGAAAAAAACCGGGCGGTTTTAAAAGCGGCTAAAAAACAATTTAGCCGTTATTATAATATTTGCTAAATTTAAAGCTTTTGCTACGCTTAGCTTTAATAGCTTTATTTTTTTAATAAAAGGCATTATAATAATTATACTAATACGTTATAACGCTAATATCGTTATTAAAAACCGTAAGCGGATTATTAATAAAAAGCTATATAATATATTTAGCCGTTAAATTTAGGCGCCGGAACGCGAATACCGGGCTAAAACTTTATTTATAAAAAATTATATTAGCCTCGATATATATTTTTTAATCGGTATCGGGCTTATTTAAGCCTATAGGTAAAAAATCGAATAATTTTAGGTTATATTTATTTTTTAGCGTAGCTAAATTTTATTTATCCAGGCCTTTGTTAATAATAAGGTTTTATATAATAAAAGGTATTCGCTAAATTCGTTTAAAAGGTTTCGAAATCGAAGGGTCGCGGAAAAAAATCGATTAAAAAATAAAACGCCGTTTATTATTAGGCAAATTATAATAGCTAATACCTTTTTTGCAATTTTTATATAAATTGCTTTTTGCGTTAAATTTAATTTTTTTAAAAAATTAATCGCGATTATAATAGTTATATATACGTTATTTACGCGTTAGCTTTAGCAAAATTATAATATTAATAAATAAATACGGGTATTAAAAAAAATTTACGATAATTATAAATTTATAAATTTTATAAAAAAAGCGCGTATATAACCGAACGCGCTATATCGGGCTAAATATAATATAAAAAAACCGTTTATAAATTAATATAATTTTATCGATATATAAACCGGTAATTAATATAAATAAAATATAATATTAATTATATAATATATTAATATAAATAAAAATAAATATTAAATATAAGCGGAAATAGCAAAACGTCGATTAATAAAAAAAACCTAAACCTAATTTATTTATTTATATATTTTCGCTAAATCGAAAAAAATAAATTACCTCGCTAACCTTTTAAAGCGTTTTAAGCTATTAATAAATACGAAAGCCTCCGAATTATTGCTATCGTCGTTTTTTGCTTCCGCGGCCGTATATTTACGGGTTATGCGAGGATTTAAAAGCGCGGCTTTAGGCGTTAATATTAATTTATTTTTAGCAAACTTTATTTATTTATATAGCGGCGTAACTATTTTTATCGACGCTAAACCTATAAAAACGCGATTTATAACGGATTATTGCGTAATATAACGCTTAGCTTTATTTAAAACCTGCCGTTTTACGTTAAAATTATATTTTTTTATTTTATTTATTTTAGCCTTAATATTTTTTTAAATATTACGTGGGCGGCTTAACCCGGTTTTATCCGGGCCTAAAAAAAATTAAGCTTTATTTTTTGCTTTTTTTATAAAAAGTGGCTTTTTAAGCTTATATACCGCTAACGGAACGAATTTAATATTATTAATTTTAATTTAATTAACGTTATTGTTTTTAGGGTTTATAATTATATTTTATATTTAAATATATTTATTAACGTTAGATTAAAATTATTTATTTTATTCGGTTTCGATTATAACCGTTTTATTTTCGGTTAAAAATACGTTAAATAAAAAATATATAAATAATTTAATAGCCGATTTATCCTTTATTAAATTAATAATAAGCGTAACGAATTTAGTTTATAAAATAGCCGTTTAAAAGGCCGCTATATCGTTTAAAAAAGGTTTATCGGGAAAAAAAATATTTTAGGTAACGATAATTACCGAAATATATTTATATAATTTCGTATATATTTATTATTTAATAATATTTTTTAGGATTTTACGCTTAAAAATATAGCTTTTATATAACCCGTAATAAAAAATATTTTTAATTATTTTTCGCCTTAATATCCGGCTAATAGGCTTTATTTAAATTTATATAATATATAAAATATTATAAAATTCGCTTAAAAGCGAATACCGGAAAGCTCCGGGCGCTTTTTTTAATTTTATATCGCCTATAAACTAAATTTATACCTAAATAAAAAAAAATAATCCTTTTTAAATACGGCTTTTAAGCGATTTTTTTACGGTAAAATAAAATATAAAAAATAACGCTAAAAAGTAATTTAAAATTTTTAATTTTATTTTATATATATAAAAAAAAATAATAATAAGCATAAATAGCCTTTTTTGCGTATATTTTAAAGCCTAAACGTATAATTTAAATTTCGTAATTATAAATTAAACGTTAGCACCGATTTAGGGAAACCGGCAAAAAATATATTTTAATAATAATATATAAATAAAAAAAGCAGGTATCGCTATCGTAAAAAAAAATAAGGTAAATAAAAAACGTATAGCGCAAAAAAACGTAAAAAAAGGAAAAAAAAGTTTATAAAAAAAAAAAACGAAAACTAAAGGAATAAATAAAAGCCTTCCTAATTTGCCTAAAAGTAAATTTTAATTTTATTTAAATTAAATTTAAATCGTAAAATAATATAGCTTTACGAATAATTACCAAAAATTACCGTAAAAATATATTTATTAATAAATATAAACCGAATATAATAAACGGCACGCTTTACGGTTAAAAGGATTACGCTTTAGGATTAAAAATAGCGTAAAAGCAAATTAGAAAAATACGCTTTTATAGCGCTGCGAAAGCATTAAATTAATACCGAAAAATATAAATTTAATATAAATTAATAAATAATAGCGGAAAATATTATTTTATTTAATGCATTTAAATTTAAAGCTATTTTAAAAGCGTAAAAAAAGTTTAAAGCCGCAAAAAGCAAAACGATTAGGCCCGATTTTACTTAAATATAGCCGTATAATTGGTTAATAACGCCACGCCAAGAAATATGGCCGTACACCTGGAAAACTATAGAGTATTGTCAAATGGTGGGGTTTTTACCACTGCACCACAAAAGATTGGTTCTTAGTCATTATGCGCTTATTAGCACTTATCTAACACACCCCCTCAGCTTGGACGTCTTTTTACGGGCGAGCTGGAGAACTTGGTTCCATTTGCATTTTATGCTCCGTTACGTTGCTGTTATTTTTGGTTAGGTGGTCGACACTTGATTTGAACCTTTGACCTCTACGCTCAAGTTTTAGTCGGCGGAGGCAGTGAGACTCTTAATTGTTGATCAAGGTGGTGCTTTCCTATTGGAGTTTAAACTGGTCTGATATGGGTGTCAATTGTGTGATGTATTGATCTATATTCTGCGCCTCTTAGTTTTGATGAGGTGTACGCTTATTTGGGTGGCCCCGGCTAATCCCCGGGAGGTCCCGTACATCTATCTGAACACTATGGGGTTGATCCGTGTGCTCAAGCACACCCCAGTGTATGGGAACCATAATCCACCATCTGACAAGTATGATTACTCTGCTTATCCCAAAACTAAGTCAATGACGGCGCGTAGTCAGGTTACACCTTGTACCCTGAATTCAACAGCAAGTATGTCTGCGCAATTTCTCGATCCGCTTTGTGCTCAAAAGTCGTGATTCGAACGGGGCATTATAATATTGGCGGTAGCCGCGCCTTACCGGAGCATTTCGGATTAACCTTCCGGTCAACGGAGTGGCAAATGCGATCTTGACGAGTTTGCCGAAATGGAACGGGACTCACCCAAATGACTATTCAGCGCAACGCATTAGCGGTCTATCAAACCTAAATACTGGAGGAGAATGTCAAATCTGAGATGCACTTTGCTGTTTTCGTGAGCGTACCATGCAGTTACGGCAAAGAATAGCCGCGGCGTGTTTGGGAGTGAATGAGCTGGAAGTGCAACAAGTAGGGATCGGAATAAGGGGACCGCATGAAACTGCATCGCTAATATTTGTGCTCAATCGTTGCTATAAATGATATTTTGGAGGTACACCCAGTTGATCGGGTCCAGAACAAAGACCAAAGTGATCGATCAATGACTAGGTACCTAGTTAAGCATTCCCGATGAATACCAAGGTATCTCATTATTGAAAAAAAAAAAAAAAAAACTATGTCTAGAGGAGTACCCCATGTGGGCAAGCTAAAATGTTGCCAAGCTGACATGTTGCCAGGAATGTGTTCAGGAATTGCCGCTTCACGTCATAGACGGAGGCGGTATCTATAATATTGAATCCTTGTGGCGCTTCACTTGAAAATGAGTATAAAGCTACGAGCGCCTGCACCTCTTTTTCCTTGAAAAATTACACCTAAATCAGCCAAGGTGACTGTACGAAGGGTGTGAGCTCACATCATGAACATTTCGTTACAAACTCCCACCCCTGCGGTCTCAATGACTGACAGATATGTGTCAACAAGCGAAACGACATTCACGGTTCATTGCCATGACAGTACCTTCAGGAAGGTCACTGTATTCGATAGCAGTGAGCAGGTGTTATTTCGTGTCGAGGGATCCGCTATTGGCACGTCTTGGAGTTGGCGCCGGAAAGTGTTGGATTCGTCGGGCAGAGCTCTGTTCGACTTTCGCCATCACAAATTTGACAACAAGAATGGCTGGGTTGTTGAGAGTCCAGACGGACAAAAGCTATGTTCCCTTGAGCACGCGGCATTTCTCAAAAAGGGACATGCGGCAATCACGGCTATTGTTCGCACCACGGCAGGAGAAGACGTGCGAGTCGAAATGATGCCAATGGATCATTCTGCGCTCACAACGACTGTGGGTGTTGATGGCTGCCCTTTTGCTGCCATCACAAAGATCGAGGATAACGATGTCACGCTTAGAGGTGGCAAAGACAGGAGCGTCTGGAGTGTTCAAGCAGCCTCTGGGGTGGATCTCAGCTTGGTAAGATCTTCCTGCAGTTCAAAAATAAAACGTTATGCTGACGTAGGTGAAGCTTTTGGCCATGGTACTGTGTCGAGCGGAAATGGGACATGTTTGGAAGAACTGATCAACGAAACCGTGGTCATGCAAACAAACTACTGGCGCAGCCAAGCGACTGCTCGGATTGAGCGCCTATGATTTTATCGATTGAATTGTAGTATGTGGGGTCCATTGTTCATCAGATCATCATGTACTATCAGCACTTGGCTGCAGATATTGAAGTTTGTGTCCAGAATTTCATCTTGGCTTACATCTTGGCATGCTCCTGCTTCTCAACGGACTAGCTGACATAAGCTAATTAGAATTATACCTTGGGCAATGCAAAGAGCCTATCGTCACTAATTGCGCTCTCGGCGTCTCATGCTGAGCCAGGCTACCATTGATGTGGCGCAGGAGTATCTGTTCAGAGACTGCTCAATGGTATCTCATTCTTTGTCTAGTCTAATCTCAAGCCCAGTGCCAATTGAGACCAATTAGGTGCATGGCCACGTCATCTGGGATATAAGGCTTGCTATTTATGTAATGACCGATCGTCTTCCGTATCGGGGCATCCAGAAAACAGCGTTAGTGCGTGATATGTTGACCGGGATAACATTTACAATGGGTGCCCGAGCCCGGACAGAACTCCGATGCGCAGATCCGCGGCCCGCTTTTCATATTTTTCGGGATGCAACATCGAGGGTGCAACTTACCACGAGCGCGTGAGGCAAAATAATTCTAATGCATAAGCACTCCCAAGATGTGCGTTTAGAAGTGTTTGTTTCAGCCGTTACGTTGTACTATACCATGATGGGTATATGACAAGATACCTCGCGTCTCCCCCTACAATGAGTACAGGACAGGTATTACATCACTCCCCTGGAGAGCTATAATCTCGCAAACACTATATTTACCCAACAGTTTCCCCCCTCCCATTTTCAAAAAAACCGGGCCAAGGAAAAGAATTCCACCCAATCTATCGATATTTTATTGCGTCGACTGAATCAGGCTTCAGTGGTTCAAATACCAATCCCAGAAATTATCGTACGAGGCACTAAGCTGATGCGAGCGGCGCGAAAGTAATTGAATATAACAAGCCATGCAAACGAGGCCCGCCGCGCGATGTTAGAATTAAGAGTCCCTGTGCAGGAGGGTACTGGCGGGGAATCGAGGCACGGGATGGGCGTTATATACCTAATAGGTATGTAGTTTAGTCGGTATCGGGCCTCGGGCCTTTCGACTTATTAGTGAGGTGCAATCTCCAGGTGTTCCTTATTTCTCTTCGCGATAAGGTAGCCACAATCACAGCGCCACACTTACATTGGCCAATTATGTTCTGCGCTCCGAATCAGGTCCTCAAACAGAATGAAAGCTGGATCAAATTTGGCATAACAGTGTGTATGTCTTTGCGAACACTTGTGATTTGATCAACGCATTAATATTACTATCTATCCAGGTTTGTGGACAGTACCACCCCAATCAAAGTAGCAGGGTGATGCGCAGTGGCATTTAGAGCTACACCGCCCGCCATCAAACACTGGCTTAGGGATTCCTGGTCTTTCCCGGCCAATAAAACGTCAAAATGTGCCATTTACATAGCAATCGTTACATAATGCATACATGCTAGGCAGAAATTTCTGGGTAGACGGCAAATCAAATGTTGATGAAAACCTGGTTGCGAACATAAGATACATGCGTGATTGACTGGCCCAAACATTTATATATAATGATCTTGACGGAAAGACGTGTCCACTCTGAAAACTGTGAAAAGGTATGGTAGGTGGTACAATAGTTGTTGTATGAGTTTAATTGTTCACATCCAACAAAGGTTGGATGGTCAAAGAGATATACATAAGTGGAGAAGCGCTCCACTTGGTTCCTACACTTTGACACACCCAAGTTCATAGTATGCAGGTATATTAGTATAGTCTATCTGTTGAACTGGAGTTTTGATCCCCGTAATCGGTGGAAATGATTGTAAATAAAGTTCATCCATGGAGAGTACAGGGAGGAATGATACTATAATTCAGCGCTGTGAGCCCCCGCCAGTGGGGCTAGCGCCAACAGACTAGCGCAGGGCCCACTAGTATACACAATTATAGAGAATACCTCCTATATATTATACGGTGGTAGACGTCTCTGGTTCATCAAAATTTCAGCTCGGCGCACTTGTTCTCCCGCGTCGTAGGCTGGCAGGCTCTTCCATTTTTCGCAATCCACGTAGATCTTTGCATGCAGCTATAAGCCGAGCGACAGCAGCAGGTGACGCTCTTTTGACGTCCTTTATGGTGCGTAGCGTCCGGAATAGATCCAGCATCTTACACATCGTCAAAGCTTACCGTATCAAGGAACAAATGCGTTGAATCCTGCCCGGGCTGTTGTGGCGAGACGGCAAGGAATATGCAATTTGGTGATGCAGACGATGGTGACGAAGAAGTAAGGGTCAGTCTCAACCTGTTCCAAGAGGTAAACATCATTGTAAGGATTGTCAACTTCGTCCAAGAAACGCAACTCGAGCTCTGCAGGGAACGAGGGCCTGGAGAGCCTCATGAGCACCAGCACTGGGACACTTAGATCTTCAAGGTGCTGCCAGGATTCCCTACGACATTCATGAAAACTGCACAGAAGAGTCCTAACTCCGATACGGCTATCCCGACGTCATGAGGGTAATCCCCCGTGTTACTAGACGTGGCCACGGGAACGTGATACTGCACCACTCTGTACCACGCGCGGAAGACATTTTCATATCGGACAAAGTGACTGATGTAGCTCAGGAGTTATCAATAAGCTACTGCATTCATCGGATCTTGGTTGTGTAATGGGCGCGTGTAATCTTCCGAAACCCCCTGTCTTCCCCTATCATAGAGCGTGGTAAGACACAGATCGTTTGTGTTTATCACCACGCAATGTGTTGAAGCCGTATGATACTTATATTCATCGATCGATCAACGATAGAGATATTGATGAGGAGGAAAAGAAATGTCTCTGGAGCACGGTCCACGCAGAGAAGGCTTCCTATGGTATGTATCGAATGCCTAGAGGCTAAGGCCAGTTTTCGCCTAGCGCGCTCCTTTAGATTCGCCCAGTTATCGCGATTCGCTTACGTGTTGGGTAACACTGACCTGCGCATGCCCGATGGAGGTCGCGATCATAGGAGGTGGTCCTGCAGGACTAAGCGCAGCCTTGGAGATGGCGCAGCTGCCTCATATCAATTGGAATCTGTACGAGAAGAAGAGCCGAATCAGCGAGACAGGCGGAGGAATGTCATTGCAGACGCACATATGGAAGTTGCTCGAGCTCAATGGCACCGCCAAGCATATCCGCCCAACAGATTACTTTCGGTCTCCCAATGGCCTGGTCGAGCAAAGGCGGTAAGTTGTTCGTACATCTCGAGATACAGATTGATGCTTACTATGCTGGCCCGCTTAGCAATGGGCGCAGCGGCGAAGTTTTGGTCACGAAGTACGAACCAGACAGTGTCCCCCGACATCAACGAAGCTGCCGATTAGCTCGCGCTAAGCTCCAAGGTGCCCTTCTAAAGGAGGTTGACCGCAAGCGTGTGCATGTCGAAAAGCGTCTCATCGCAATCGACCACCTCCCGAATGACCGCAATCGCATTCGTCTGACTTTCCAGTGTGGATATATCGCCGACGTCGATTTACTGGTGGCGGCGGATGGCTCAAGATCGGTGAGGACGGGCCCAATGTGGTACAAAATCCTAGTCCAGTCACTGATCCTCATTTATAGCTTGTCCGCACACTGGCCTTCCCGGGCGTCGTGCCCCGCTATAACGGACAATGCGTATACCGCACCATTGTAAGCAAGGCTGATGCGGAGAAGATTGAAGGGATCCCATGGGGTCCAGTCTTCTGGAAGAATGTCAGCGGACTTTATGTCTTCACTTGCCCTCTTGGGGATGATGATTTTGAGGTGACAGCACGTATACGCCGCTCTCGAAGCGACAAAGATACGGTCAGCTGGGGGCAGCCGTTCGACTTGCATACACTACTACACGAGTTTGACGACTTTTGTCAGCCAGTACGGGACATTCTGCGTCTTGCTGCCCGAGGCAAAACTCAGGAGTTCGCGCTCTGCCCTCTGCCTCCCCTAGAGCGTCCCATCTCCCACAATATTGCTTTCGTCGGTGACGCATGCCACGCTCTGCTTGGGAACTTTGGATGTGGTGTCGGGTTGGCTCTGGAGGATGTTTACACTTTGGCCAGAACTCTTAATTGGGCGTGGAAGCGGGATAGATCTTTAAGCGATGCGTTGGGAGCATTTCACGCTATCAGGTCTCCACACTTTAAACGCCTCTACAACCTCATGTCAAATTTCGCCGACATCAAAGCTACAATTCGAGCAGAGTCTTTACCGACGGACCAGGAGATTTCTGTGCGGGTCCAAAGAATATCGGAAGCATCACAGTCATGGATGTGGTATTATGAGATCGATAAGGCCGTCGATGAGTTTCTTGAGGCATACTAGTATGAAATTCCGCATCATGGAATTGGCAGGGGACAGAAAGGACAGCCATTTATATTACTTTGAGCTGCTCGAAGTATCTACAAAAAGTGAACACCTCAGTATGATATGTAATGAAATAGAAAATCAAAGTAGGAATCGAAATAGAATGACCTTCAGTTAATAGGAAAACGCTACGCTCGCTCGAATGGTCCCTATCATATCAGTAGAAACTTTACCGGGTGCGTGACACGAACAATTGGGCTAGTCATCATACAGGCATCATACATGAATACGACTTGTCCGCGGAACCGTAAATCAAAATCATCAAAAGGAAAATGGGGCATAAATGAGAAAAGCAGAGATCGCGACCGAGACCGAGACCGAGACCGAGACAGGAAAAGGATTGGTACTGATGCACCATAACAGTAAGAAATGGGTGTCTAGGTGCCATCAATCATCTCTCCCAAAGTAGATTGAAGGGCCTTTGGATATATCCTGGAATTGATGTCTTCATCAAAGTCTTCCAGTTTCCCGAGTAATTTCCAAGTGCAGGTGTCCCATAGTCTGACTTCGTCATTGTAGGAGCTGGAAGCCAGCATCCTGCCGTCTGGAGAGAACTCGACGGAGTTGATGCTGCTGGATTGATTTCTGAACGTCTGCAGCAAAGCACCGTTCTCAATATTCCAGAGCCTAATGGTCTTGTCTTCGGAGCCGGATACAATTATTTCAGCGTCCAGTGAGAAGATGGCAGTCATGACTCTTTTCGTGTGCCCCCGGAAGGTCATGCGCTCTTTTCCCGTTTCCGTCTCCCATAGCTTGATAGTCATGTCGTCAGACCCGGAAAGAATCAAGTGTCCACTGGCGGAGAATCGGATCGAGTTGACGGCTCCGGAGTGGCCTTGAAATGTCCTGTGAGCCTCCTCCGACTCAGTTGAGAAATCCCATAGCCTGACAATCCCGTCAACAGAACCCGTGATGATGAAGTGGCCGTCAGGAGAAAAGACAGCTGCATTCACAGGACTTGACTGGATGTCAATCCTCTTGACTTCTCGAAGCGTTTCAGTGTCCCAGATTGCTACGGTTTGATCCATAGACCCTGACGCAAACAGCTTGCCGTTGGGGGAGAACGCTACAGCGTTCACCCAACGACTGTGTGCTTGTAAGGTGTGCCGTAGTTTCCTTCTTTTCAAGTCGAAGATCATAATCGTGAAATCGTCTGAGCCTGCAATGAGGGTCGACCCATCCGGAGAGATGGCGACGGAGCTGATCTTGTCCTTTGCGTCCCCCAGTGTGTAGCAGGCGACTCTATCGTCAGTGCTCCAGACGCGAACTGCTCCAAAACTTGACCCCGAGGCAATCTGCTTGCCATCAGGTGTGAAAGCCAAGTCACTGACATAGTTAAACTCATCCTTGTCGTAGGGGGGCATCGCCGAGCTCAGTCGAATGTCTCTCATGATGGGATGTAACTGGCTCCAGAACCGGAGCCTTTCCTCATCGGTGGGTGAATGCAATGCTTGTGCGGCGACATAAACCTTCAGTGGTTCCTGGTTAAAGGCATTCTGGAACGCGTGCATGAAACGCCTTGCATCTTTTACCAATGGAAGTTGCTGCTCATTTTCAGAGGGCTAGGATGTCGTCCATCAGCAGTAGCACATTAGCAGATTGACATCATCATGAAGGATACATACAATCAGGAGTGCTTGATATAATCGTATGATGGCACCCATATCATTACTCTTCCCTAGTAGGGTCATTGCTTCCAACCAATGAAGAAAGTGTCGCTTGAAGAAAATGTGAACCTGGTCTCCATCATGAAGACGTGCGGCACTCTGTCGTTGATGGTCGATCCAGTAGACACAAGCATACTGTAGCTCCAGCGGAATGCAACGGTTGACCCGACCAGGGTCTACGTTGTTGACGATGGTATCCGCTGATCCAAGACCACAGATATCCCTCTTGAGCATTCTCGACATGATCGTCAGGCACTTCTGCGCCAGGAACTCGTGCGCCTCTTGTGAGTTCACATGGAAGTCGCCAAGACATCGTTCCTTGTCAAGAAGATATTCCCTGAAGGTGCGATGATTGATGCGGATAGGACGATTGTCCTGAGAGGCGTCGAAAATGGGACTCAACCCCACAAGCGTCTTTCTGATTTCGGAAGGGGATACGACGAGCAGTTTGGCAAGTGACCTGACTGGTAACGGCGAGTCGAGCACAGCGATGCTACCGAGGATCGCTCTTCTCATCTTCTGCATTTCCTTCATCTCAAGATCATTCATGCTTGGCTGAACCGAGTTCTGTAGGATCGTCATGTAAATCCAATCCAATGGACTCATGGGCTGGGAACGTGAAGAGAGCTCATCAACCAGCGAGTCCATGCGCCTCTTTGCGAGTTGTTGGCCATCACGGATGAACCTGCAAGCAAGAGAAGCCCATATGAAGAGACCGCAGGATTTCTCAACAAGACGTTCGATGACTCCAATGGCGGGCCAATTATGGTCAAAGCCACAATCTGTACGGATCGACGATAGACTGTTTTGAAAGTATACGCCAAGGTCGTTATCAAATATGGTGGGTATAATCTGACGAACGCAGACTTGACACTCATTCTCTGGCGCCTTCTGGATACTGTTGTGGACCTGCTCTCGACCTGTGCTGGTGATAAAGACTCGTAGTTGGATATTGTCAAACTGTCTGACAGCAGTGAAAAGTCTCAAGATGCGCTGCGTATCACTACCATCGTTGCATTCGTCCAGAGCGTCAATCACAAAAAGAATCGGGGAGGGAGCTTGACTGTCATGAAGCTTTGACAAAGGAATCAATATAAGTTGGGTCCATTGTTCCTCGAGGGGCCGACGCATGACTTCCGGTTTCTCAGCAATAGCATCACATATGAAGCGCCGTGTTTGTGGTATGGATTCCGCAAGCTGCCGGGCCAGACTCGATACCAATTTGGTGGAGCCACTGAGATCACCTTCACCCTTCGAGAAGAAGAAGCTTGCCCCTAGGTTGCCTCGCTCGTGATATCTTCTAGCAACAGTACGCGCTACTGTCGACTTGCCTATGCCTTCTGCCCCTTTCAGCCAGAATACATTCTTCTCGTCAGCACCCTCGGCCCAAGTTTGTATTTGCTGAAGCAGTTCGGCTCTGGTGTCTTGAAGGCAGGTGCGGCCTCGCCCATTGTAGCTGGAATCGAAAGTTGCGTCAGACGCTGTAGGCAGGTTTGATAACAAGAGTTCTTGTCTTTCGTCTACTGCGTTCTTCTTCTTGATTTCGTCAAGTAAAAGGTCGTAGGCCGAATCACCCATGCCGTACATGCGCGGTATGTAGATTTCGAGGATACCCAGCAAGCAATACGCCCTGTCTTCCTTGCGCCTTGTTTGTCGTCTGGAAGCCCACGAAAGGCGGTCGTCCAAACTGAACTTGGCCAGGCGTTTTCCTCTGAGAGCGTCAAGTGGTATTCCAGTTATCTCATGTATCATTGACTCAAGCGAGCTTTTGTCACCCAACAACACCTGGTCTACAGAGAAGAATACTACATCTACTGGGGCAAGAAGCTCCTGGAGCGTCCATCCTCGACTGAACCATCTGGCGCGGCGAAATTCCGATTCCAATTTGTCCTGCCTCTGTGTCTGGCTGAGAGAAGATCCAGGTTCTGGGTTCGCAGAAACATCCTCCAAGTACACGTAACACCGTGCGGCATCTCGATACCAAGAAAACATGCATGTGATAGCCTCTTCGAGCTCAGAGCTGCTAGTCCTGTCTATGCAGCATGTATCCACCCAGAAGAATTCTAACCCATCTCTCGAGGCCTGTGATGCACAGAAATGGATCTTAGCGTAGCCGGCAGGCTTCTTTGTGGGTTCTCCGGTAGTCAAATCCTGGAAAGTGACTTCTCGGTCATTGTCAGATAGCCATGTATGTGACAACACTGCATACGCGGGGATACTGTCTTTGACGAGATACGGCCCGGTAATCTCATACGACCCATTCGTGGTTCTTCTGAGGAGGCGCATCTCAGGCACGTTCGCTGCGGGCATACGAAACCATGGGTCAAGTCAGCCATGCAACAGTTTATGGAGGGTCTTCGGAATTTGACATGTCATGGCTGGGCGGGGGGGTCACCCATAATATCAGGCATCAGACCTCGGAACTGACGTCAAGTTGGCGGCTGATCATACCCCGCAAGAAGCCATACGCCCCAAATCTGGTAGGAACGCATCAGGGTCCTATTCGTCCCTCGTTCTAGAAGAAATGTCAAGATGTCTTTTGGTTCGCTACACGTGGCGAACTCCGCCCCACGTCTTCTTGGCCAATCAGTATCTCCATGATGAATACCTCCAGAACGCTGCCAGCCTGGTCTGCAAAGCCTGCACAGCCAACCTCTATTCATACAGTATTGTGAGAGTGCAAATAAGGGCAACAATGAATACGGTGGATTACGGGGCTATGCGGAACTTGCTAGCTGTAAATATGCGGATATCCTCCATGCCAAGTGCTGACATCCGAGGCTGGGCGAGGGTTTTTGAACTATACCATCGGCAGATTTCGCATGCTACGTCTGATTTGTAACAATGAACTCTTCACTCGATGATCAAAAAGCTCAACGAATAGCACTTCTGCCGATTTATGCGCTGAGGCTGCGGCATATAAAAGGCAGCAAGATGCCTTTTATCTCGTCAGCAGCAGGGCCACGACCCGAACGACGATCCGCCCGGCCTTGGGCTACCATGTCGATCACAGGGCACTATATCCCTGCGTGTATTGTGACTCGATGTGTCGCGTGTCGTGGATGCTGTCATCGGGACGAGAGCCTGATACGTGGTCAAAGGCTCGGGCGTTGAATCACGTCGAAGCCTGAAGCTCACCACGCCCCCTCCCTTCAACATCCCGGGGAATTTCGCACGCAAAAATGTCCGTGCACTAATTCAAGCCGGAGCAGATGGACGAAATAACGCCAATGCGTTCTTTCAGCTAGGTGTACGAGGCTTGCGATTGCTTTGAATAAGACAAATCGATCACGATAAACAAGGTTTGGAAGTAAGGGGAAAATTCCCAGAATTGCAGTAAATCCGAAGATGGGTTATGAGTTGAAGAGGGACACCTAATGGAATAACTGATCTCCCTTCTATCTGTGCCGTCAACCCCAATTCGTTCCTTCTCTACCACACCCAACTGACCTCAGCTTCTGGGCGTATTTTAGCCGGGCCATTCACATAATAAGCCTGCATAAAATAAAGAGTAAAATTAAAGATGGTCTACATCTACGAAAATGATGTGTGCAAACAGACTTAAATACCCTCCCCGTTGTGTCACCCGAAGGGTGCCACACAACCCAGCCACACTGTGGCGCATCACTGCACTTTTGAATCAAGAGACGGGCAATATAGGTAACTTCTTAATTGCAATACCTGCGGTCATAAGCAGCCAAAAGCGTTTCACTAACATTGGGTCGCACTGCATACAAAATTCGTTGTAAGCCACATTAATCAGCGGGGACAATTGCCCACACCAATAAAGTTGCCCGGGGCACACACAGCCTTCCAATAATTTGCCGAGATAGCAGCCTGATTCTTCAAATACAACAGCATGTAAGCTCTACCCCGCAGATATTGCGACGGCTTGTCTCGACTCTCAAGCCTGTTCTCCCAGAGCCTCGCCATCCCGTCATTATTGAACTGCAAAAAAAAGAAGAAAAATAGTATCTTTTTTTCTTCCTTTTTCCGTTTTCCCTTTCGTTTTTCAGGCAGCGACACTTCACTGGTCCTTCGGTGGGCTGTCGTGCTCTTTTGATCAGTCCATCGCTCCGGCTGATTTACGAATGTCCGACTGAACAACTGGCACAATCGGAGGAACCATCTCATGGCGATGCTGAATCGACATTCCAAGCGGACCCGTCCCTTTCTAGGACCCCTATCTTCGTAAACGAAGACGGAACCATTACTGGCAATCTGTCGTCATCTGGCAAGATTCAAGAAACGAAAATGGAGATTGCAGGCTTAGGCATCGGTATCGCAGGGCTGGCGGGAATGTTCTCCACGTGCCTTGATGTAGTGGAGCGAATCGACTCGTACAAGGATTTTGGCATAGATTCTCGCGCTATCATGTCTCAATTCGATGCTCAAAAACTATTATTCAAAAGATGGGGCAAAGCCGTTGGCTTTGAAGGCAGCCGACTGAGAGATGATCACCATGAGTATCTCGATGATGCGACAACCCTTTCGGTCGTTCAGAGCATTCTTGACAGCATTTGCGAAATCGCGGGCGATCCTGATAGGCTGTCACTAGGCAAGCAGGATAGGCCAGAGTTCGCGGGTCCTAAACGCCAGCCTTATGGCGCCCAAGAATCATGGCATGGCAGATTCCGTGGTGACGCATCACACAAGGCCAAGATAGGGTGGACTTTGCGGCATAAAGCGAGATTTCTTGCTCTCATTCAGCATTTTGGAAATCTGGTGGAGAAGTTGCATCAGTTGGTGCCTCCCAATGCACCAATGTCAATGGATCTGATGGCCAAACAGGCACTTCGTGGAAATATCGCGTCTCCGAATGGTGTACCTTCCGATCTACCCGTAGAAGATGGAAGAAGCTCATGGTATAATGATACTGAACGGATTTTGAAGGATATTGAAAAGCAAATCCAACGTAAGTAGCCTCTCCATGCCCACTGGCTCAATCTCAAATCTGTAGGTACTCTGAGAAAGGACCTTGATACCTGGCTGCGCGCTTCCTTCAAGGACAACACTTACAGCGCATCCATCGAGAAACGACTTCCTGACACTTGTGATTGGATCATGGATCGTCAGGCATTCTGTGATTGGGAGTCTTCCGAATTTGCACCGGGCTGTGCCAAAGTTTTATGGATCAATGGACCTGCAGGTTACGGCAAAACTATCCTAAGTGCTAGAATTGTGCAGCACCTTGAAGCCCATAGACAGTCGCCGATGGCTGTTGTGTTTTTCCCCGATCTGGAAGATATGGCGGACCCATTCATCGTCGCTCGACATTGGGTATCGCAATTGATATCCCAAAGTCCTGAAGCCTTAGACTTGGCCTATGAGAGGTTCCATATCGCAAGGACCTCAATTGCGTCGTCTGGTGAAACCATGGATTTGTTGAAAGAAATAGTACACACTATTCCAGATTGCACATTCGTTGTGGATGGACTGGATGAATGTTCGTCGAAAGGACCTTGGAGCCCCACGCAGAACGATGGACTTCAGAAGTTCATACACAAGAGCATAGAAGCAATACGTGGCACTACCTCACGGATCCTTTTGACTAGCCGTGTGGAACAGGACATACGCAACGGCCTTTCAGAGATTGATGGCAGTGGCATTGGGATCAAAATGATCGAGTACAGCATTACACCCAGTGATGTGCGACCAGATGCAACGAAGCTTTCAGAAAGTATCGTGAGCCGAAATTTGCAGAATAAAAGCCAGAAATTTCGGGATGAGATTGCACGCCGAATGGTCGACCGGTGCGACTCAATGCTTTTACAGATCAAACTGTTAGAGAACGACATACGAGGAACAAGGAATCAAAAGCAGACGGAACGCATCATAGATCAGACGCCTTCAGGGCTCAGCGACCTCTACGATCGGAATTGGCAGAGAATACTCGAGCGACGAAACGAGCGCCCCCGAGCATTGGCGATCCTGCGATGGGTCGCATTTGGTTTACGCCCGCTTACTGTCCTTGAAATGACAGAAGCCCTGCCCTTTGCTGAGCTTGAGGTTGTTGACGATCTCGAGGATGAAATGCCAAATGATCTTGACGATGAATATGTCAGAAGCGAAATCCTGGATTTGTGCTCCTTTTTGGTTGAAACACGAGTATCGACTTCATCCAACGACATCACCTCACGGACACTGCATTTTACGCATTTTACCGTGAAAGAATATGTACTCCAACACTTACAAAGGGTTCCAACCAATCCCCTAAGTGAAAATCATGATTTGGAGCTGAATTATCAGGCAGCCCAAAATAACAAACTGGCCGAGATATGCTTGCGTTATTTGAACATGCCAGAGTCGGAGACAACACAACACGAAGGCCCGACCAATTCACGGCGCGGTTTCGGAGGCTATGCTTTCGATTTTTGGTATGAGCACACGAGGCGCGATGCACAGAATTACGCCAGGGTCAGCAGACTCCTCGTCAAGTTCTTCTGCAATAAGGATGGTCAATGGGAGAGCTGGAGGAAACATTATGACTCCAAGTTGGCCAACTCCCTGATGCTTTCATACAAAGGGGAGACATCGTCCGGTTCTCCTTTATTCTACGCATCGCTTTTAGGTTACCAAGAGGTTGTGGAGGAGCTGGTCCACCGCCACGGCGTGAATGTAGACCATGTTGATGAGTCCTGCCGTACGGGATTCTTCGCGGCTGTACACGAAAGCAATCATAATCTCGTCGAATTTTTCCTGCAACACAATGTAGATATCGACAAGGCAAGTAACATGGGCCGTAGTCCACTCTACGTGGCCTCATATCGCGGAAGCTATGAGATAGCCAAGCTACTACTTGAGAAGGGCGCCGACGGGGCGCTCTCGAATTGCGCCGGACGGACCCCACTCAATATGGCGGCACAGTGTGGATACGTGAATATAGTCGAACTACTGATCGAGAAGGGAGTTGACTGGGCGGTTTCGGATGGAAACACGTGGACACCACTTTACGCTGCCTCGAGCAATGGACACATCGATGTGGTCAAGCTGCTGCTCGACAAGGGTGCCGACCTGGAAATCACCAACAAGGACGGGTTTACACCATTAGCAACAGCATGTGCTTACGGACACCTCGAAATTGCTAAACTGCTTCTCGATGAAGGCGCTGACGTAGCTACTAATAATAGCTATGGATATACTCCACTGAGTTTGGCTTCTTGCCACGGACACCTCAGCGTGGTCAAGCTACTTCTAGAAAACGGCGCCAATCTCACTACCGCGAGTAATCAGGGGGCAACGCCGTTATATTCTGTTTCAGAAAACGGCCACATTGATGTGGTCAAGCTACTTCTAGAAAAGGACGCCGATCCTAACATGACGAATAACGGGTGGACACCGTTGATGGTTGCTTCACATAAAGGCCATTTTGAAGTAGTTAAGCTACTCCTTGAAAGGGGGGCTAATCTGGATATCGCGAGTAACACCGGGTTGACATCGCTGAATATTGCTTCGCATAAAGGCCATTTTGAAGTAGTTAAGCTACTCCTTGAAAGGGGGGCTAATCTGGATATCGCGGATAACGACGGGTCGACACCGCTGAATACTGCTTCATATGAAGGCCATTTTGAAGTAGTTAAGCTACTCCTTGAAAGGGGGGCTAATCTGGATGTCGCGGATAACGACGGGTCGACACCGCTGCATTATGCTTTATCACGGAACCACCTGAAAGCAGTACAGCTGCTCCTGGAAAAAGGCGCCGACATCAATAAAGCGCATGTCACTGGGTGGACGCCACTACATTCTGCTTCAATCAACGGACACGTCGAAGTGATCAGACAACTCTTGAGGGGAGGTGCTGATTTATCCATTGCAACGAAATTGGGCCACACTCCAATTCATGCTGCAGCGCGTGGTGGGTGTTTTGACGCTGTTGAACTCTTACTTCATGAGGGTGCAGCTGTAACAGCCGTATCTTCCAATGGAGGCACGCCACTTCATCAAGCTGCAGTTGGAGGACATCTTGATGTTGTTCAATTACTTCTCCGCAATGGTGCAAACATGTGTGCTTTGGATGTTTTTGGAAGGCCACCTTTGCTCTACGCAATCAGAGGAGGAGACTTTGCTACTTTCTCCGCCCTCCAATGTCAAAAACTTCTCGAGCCTGACTGTCAAGACGTCTTTGGCTCGAACGCCCTTTCTTTCGCTGTACGATATGGTCATGAAGAGATGATAAGAGCTTTTCCTGTTCTATCAAAACAATCCCTCATGGTGGAAGATCGCTTTGGTCGTACGCCCATCTGGTGGGCTCACAAGCAGGGTAACATGCGCATGGTCGAACAAGTTACCGCACCTCTAGGTCCTATTAGCCCCCCAGACTTTCCTACTGGACTACCCGCAAAATCCTCTGTCGAAGGCCCTTGCTGTGATGTATGCTTCGCAAGCTTGGATGAAGTATACTACGAATGCAAGGTTTGTTGTGCTGGGGACTTTGATGTCTGCGTTGACTGCTACAATGTCGGAGCTCGTTGCTTGGTAGACGCTCACACATTACTTCAGAAAAGGTAGTCATTTCGTTGGAGCTATTACTCAAATTGGAAACGCGGATTCATGAGGGAAATGTTTGGGAATCTCGGATTACAAAGGCATGAAGTGTCTCTGACGTCGACAGTACTTGCCGCAGGTTACCTGCCGGGGTAAATTAGCTCGCTCCTTAGCACCTCTTTTTTGTAGTTTGTTAGGATTAATTCAGACATCTGTTAGACGCTCTGCGATTCCTTTCTAACCATCACATTGGCTTAGGTGAGATATGACTGCGTAACTAGGAAGGCAAAAAGGGGTTCAATCTCGATATAGCATTTCCAGGATGAGTGTAGCACTGATTCCCGTCTCTTGCCTATATATTAACGGTCTGTCAGACACCTTAGAGTCGGTGGATGAAACGAGCCTCATTGCTCCATAGCTCAGTTCTGAGAGTGAAAGCAGGGTGTCCATCAAAGCCGTGCGGCACTCCAGGGAAGATTTTGAATTGCACTTTGACGGCATGTGTTGAGAGCTTCTCAGCAAAGCGTATGTTCGCGTCGCGGAACAGATCCAGACCACCGACACCCAGGTGCGTCGGTGGAAGGCCGTGCAAATCTTCGGCACGGCCTGGTGCGGCCGTGTATGGAGCTGCAGCTTTCCGGACCTTGTTGCTAGTGCCCTGGCCCTCCGTTCCGTTGGAATCGCCCAAATACGCTGCCCAAGCAATCGTGTTGTTGCTAGGACTTCATGTTAAATACGGAAAATGGGGGTCGGCAGGGTCCATCTGGGTTCGATCATCCAGCATTGGGTACCGAGCACTAGCGCTGTGAGAGGGGGAGTGAGTCCCTCGTCTCTGGCTTTAAGTGCTGCCGACGCCATGAGATTACCGCCAGCACTTTGGCCGAACGCGACGATACGAGCAGGGTCAACGTTGAAATCACCTGCGTGGGCCTGCAACCAAGTAATTGTTGAATAAATGTCTTGCAGAGGCGCAGGATAGGGGTGCTCGGGGGCTAGGCGATAGTCGGGAGCAAATACTTGAGTTGCCGTCCGTTCGGCGAAATTGGCAATCACGTTAAAACTAATATTGACGCTGCCTGCAATCAAGCCGCCCCCGAAACCGTAGATGACTGCCCTTTGCGCAGTTTCGCTGCTCTTCTGGACGCTGAGAGGTACGAACCTGGTTACATTGAACTCGGTTCCATCAGTAGAAGTGACAACACTGACACTGGTTGTCATTCCGGCGGGGGATGGGAGCGCATTGGAGGCTGCCTGAGTAGCTGCGTTGATTGAGGCTCTAATAGTGAAAAGGTCCGTTGCTGGTGGCGCCGGCGTCGGCGCTTTGCCGCCAAGCAGTGCCCAGTAGTCTGGATGAACGAAAGGCGGGCGGACCATGGTGAAAGAAGGTCACTGGATAGCAGACAATAAAAATGAGTGATATATCATATTATTTATGCTTAAAAAAGGGAAGGAAAGAAAGAGAAAAGAGAAAAGATTAAAAAAAAAAAAAAAAAAAAGGAAAAGAAGAAAAGAGATAAAGCAGAAGAGAGAAAATTTACAGACAAAAAGAAAAAGGGAGAAAAAAAACCATTTGGACTCGTCTGGACATTCAAGTTCGTCTGCGCCTTAGATTGACTGCCTAGATGCAGGGTTGGTGTTGGTTGTAAGCACGAGATGCTGCATCTGGTCGTTACAGCAGCTTGCCCGTCGGCAACTGAGTCGAGCCATAATTAGACTTATGATGAATTCAGATCCATGCAATTAACAGCATCCGTCCGTTTTGATGCCACACTCATTCGCTATTCCCCAGCAGCCATCTCCTGCTTGGATATAGTACAACGTATTACAGTGCTGAACATGCCCGTCGGCGTGGGCGTGGGCGTGGGCGTGGTTGTCACGATTGCGGTCGTGCTGCAAGTAGTGCCTTGTATGCCCTGGACAATGGCTACATAGGTACCTGCCCCGTACTAATTGATCCTCCCCCACCAACACCTATCTTCACAGCCTCTATAAACTATCGCACTCCAATCTGCCCATCTCAGGCATAAGCCGGCGTGGTGCAAATAGTCATGCTGTGCAAGAATCCACTGACGCATCTCCCTCCGGAAATATTCACCCAAATCTTTCAACTTGCTTGACTTGTACTGCCTTGCGGGACAAGACCCCATTGCGGCTTGAGAGGGTTTTCCTCTCTGCTAATGCGCGAAACGTCGAGGTTTTCCGCGCGATTGCAGACCACGACATATTCCGCCAAAGCATCACGGAGGTCATTTGAAATGATGCATGCCTGTCAGATGACGTCAAGCGGGCTGGCGACGATCAGATAGACCATGACCTTTACTATGATGTAGAAGGAGTAATTGAGGACGAGACATGCCCCACCTGGTTTATACGATCGTGCAAAGAGAACCTCGACGACATTTCAAACCGCAAGGGCGCGGATGGCGAATTACCACAGCATGTAGAAAAGGAAAAGCAGGTTACGGCGCAGCTTCCACTAAAGGTGTACTATGCACTACACTAAGGCCTTCTGATGCGGCAACAGAGTGTCTTCACCTCCCAGGCCAATGTGGGCGGGCTCCGCTATGGGATTGCTCGATCCCCGGCCCTCCGGTGCGTGACAATCATACCCACGGCCCACGGTGTGCTATGCTCTCCGCTATACGAGACTCCCATGATCCGTGCATTTTCCCTATGGCTTCAAGTATCCAATTCCTTGCGGATGACCGACTACGCGACTTGGATACTCACCACCATACGACACGCCGCCTTGGGATGATGAGGACCAGAAAAGCATGTGGCGCGGGGTTTCTATCATCTTGCGCACCTTGACGGAGCACAGCCGTCATGTTTCCGAGTTTGTTGTGGATGTCCATGGGCTCTGCACGGGGCTAAATCCTCACATGTTAGACGGTGAGACTCACGAGGAATACCAGAACCTCGTCGCTCTTTTCCAGCGGCCTAGCTTTACTCATATTATCTTGCCCTCTTGGAAACGAGCCAGCAAGATGATGGGTGGCCCACCTTTCGCAACGGGCATCTTCGGCGGGTGTTGGGCGAGACCAGGGGTCTGCAACATGTCAGCTTGTGTACGAACTTGGGACCTGGCCAAGACTTTGAGATGAACGAGGACAATGATCAGCAGATCCGACTACAGACTGTATTCTCTGTCGATGCTTGGCAAAATCTCATGTCTTCAATGACGGGATGTAGAATATGTTTCAAGTTTATACGGTCACGGTGCTTGCAATATGGTACACGGCCATCAAGACTTGAGAACAATGAGTATATTGAAATTCAACTGGGCCAGACTTGGGTCGCTATTTGCGCGCTGGGCCAGCGTGTAGTCCAGCTGAAGTTCTATCAGTAATCATAGCTTATTGAATTATAAACTAGAGTCACTTACCTGTGATGAGCATGTCCGCACCTGTCGTAGAAGCTGAAGCATCGCTCAGTAGATAACAAACCATAGGCGTTAGATCTTTGGGCAGCCCAAGTCGTTGAAAAGGTGCACCGTTCTGATGCCAGTCAGGAATGTCTCGCTTTTCCCCTTCTAGGCGTGCAAGAAGCGGCGTTCGAATAGCTCCTACACGAACATGGTTATTATAGTTCTTACTTCGACCGTTATGTAAGACATTTTACCTGGTGAAATAGGGTTGACTTTAATCCCATACTGGCTCAGTTCGCCCGCCAGTGGACCTACCAGGCCTTTGATCGCGGCTTTGCTGGCATTATACGAGGATTGCGGCTGGACAGGAACATACAGCCCGTGGCCATTGACGCTGGAAATGGCAACAATGCTTCCAGGTATCTTTTCATCAGTAAAATGGCGTGCCAGTAACTTGATAACCCAAAATGTGCCCATGACATTCACATTCAATGTCCGCTGCGTGCTTTCCCAGTCAGGCTCAAGCAATGGTTTATCCACACAAATACCGGCTGCTGTCAGCGCGCCATGCAGTTGTCCGAGAGAACGAACACACTGCGCAAACGCCTTCTCTATCGATTCCTGGTCCGTGATGTCGCCTTGTACGTGGATGCCATAGCGCTCGCTTAGTGTATGAAATTCGGGGACAGGCTCCGGAGCCGAGTCGATGATTGCGATGCCACCACCAAGCTGAGCAATTGCCTTTACACAAACAAAGCCAATGCCTCTGCCTCCTCCCGTGATCAAAAAGTTCTTGTTCTAGAGGTCGAAAAGATCAGTCACCTTGGTCTCGCCAAAGTCTTTCGTGTTTGTAAAATCCATTATCTGTGCCGCGGTGAATATGAAGAGCTCAACAGAAGATGGACAATATGACCCGATGCTAGTCGGCATTCCACAGTAAGGCTACATACCAAGTCCCAGAACCACATCCGATGCATGAATTGGCGGCCCGGCACGTCTCCAACAGATATGGAGTGATGCCGGGCCCGTATCTAATCTGTGTCCAAAGACCATAGTGAAAAGTCGTGCCGATCGACGTTTCGGAATGCTACCCTCTCGTAACACGGCGGCACTCGAAATTTCTTTTTATGCGCTTGATACAATCTCCGAGGAAGGATTTTTCGCCACGTTCAATTGAATTGCACGTCGTCACAATGATTGACTGTTTGAGAAGAATGCCTGCATGCCCATGCATCGGCAACATATCCGCTGCAATACGACAGGGTCTGCTAACTCATCCAGAAGCTTCAAAGAATGCCCCACCTTTTACGGCGTTCAGCGCCGAGCAAAAGCTCCGTAGTTACATATTCAGGCTCCGTTTGATCGCCTTGGGCGGAAGACCGTGTGAAATGCAAATAGTGGACCTCCGGACATCTTTCGCTCCCGAACGTTTGATTAGACGGCGCAGAGGATCCCATCACTGTGTTTGATAGAGGCGAGGCGCGAGGGAAGACAATGGAACTCCTCAAGAATTGTAACATGGACATTACTTTCTAGAAGCCGAAGATGCGACATTGGGACATTTTCTCGGCCTTTTCTTCAAGGTGAGCCTCGACATTGTATCGCATTGAGTTGGCGAATACTGAAAACCAATGATAGAAGAGGAGTGGCATGAACTCATGATTAAACCCGGAGGGTTACAGTATGGCATCTGGCCAAAAGAGCAACCAGGACATCAGAGATAGCGACATTTACGTCAAATTGATTCACATGCTTGATAAACTTGCAAGGTAATTTCGATTTCAATTCTCGCAAAGTTCTGGAATCCGAAGTTCCGAGCATTCGACGTGGGGATCCATATAAAAAGCTGGAGAAGGACGCACAGGCCAGTCTTGGGCAGTTTCTGCTCTGCGTTTCTGCCACTATTGATCGGCTCGTCCCACATTGGCCGCGTGTGCTATTTTGCACCAGTTCACGGTTCCCCGAATGGACCATCCAGGATGACCGTCGTTCGAGCTGCTATGTACAATATGGTGTGAAGGAGACAAGGAGCATGCTACGAAGATCCTTGGCTAAAACTTCCTAAAAGCTTTGTAATAGGGCTTACCACGCGGCTGCGGAGAACCACGACGTAATGCCAGCCTTGGCTAAACTGCTCGATCTACGAAGTATGGATACGCTACTTTATCACCGAACCCACAGGACGCGCAGCATCAGACTTGTTGCCTTTTCCCAAGCTCGTCCCCATATTCATCCCTCAAAAGCTGGCTGGTACCCCCTTGTGCGCGGAATGCATCTCCCCCGGATTTCCTGCACCTGCCGGTGTTGCGATGGGCTGTAAGGAATAGTCATGCGCCTGCTCTCATCTCTACTGTCACTGGCACTCGCCTGGTCGACTTCAGCATCCGTCGTTGCCGACAATTCCTACCTGTATGACTGGGGTGTCTATGGCGCATACCCCCGGAATCACTACAAGTCTTTTGACTCGGCATCGCCATATCCGAATGTGTTGAACTCAGACCCGCGATGCGACGACGGCTATCTCTTCATTGAGCCCCGGGGCTCATCGGTGGCTAAACCGGGACCCGTCATTCTGGATAAAACTGGCAATCTCATCTGGACCGAACAGAAATGGGGCCAGGCAATGGACGTCAAGGTCCAGAATTACCAGGGCAGCGATTACATTACCTTCTGGACTGGCAGCGATAATGGCACGTTTGGATCTGGCAATTATCTCATGGTAGGATCGAACTCGTAAATTCGATTGTTGTCGAGGGATACTAAACTGGAGATGGTTATAGATTGATTCTTCGTATCAAATATACAAGAATTTCTCTGCGGCGGGAACGTTGCATGGGGACCTTCACGAGTTCCGCATCACCAAGAACGGAACAGCACTACTTACCGCTTACGAGTTGAAACCAACCGATCTTTCAGCACTCGGTGTGGATGGCGAAGGCTGGATCTACGACAGTCTTTTCCAAGAAGTGGACATCGCTACGGGAGAGCTCCTATTCCAGTGGAGGGCATCCGACCACCTTCCCGTAACAGAGAGCTTCTCGCCAATCCAAAACCATGGGCACGATATCAAGAATGCCTGGGACTACATGCATATCAATAGTGTCGACAAGAACGACGATGGAAATTACTTGATCTCTCTTCGATACGGCTGCATGCTCCTGTGCATTAGCCCAACGGACGGAATCGTGTGGCGGCTCGGGGGAAAGAACAACAGCTTCAAAGATCTGACGCCCGGGAACGCGGCCACCAACTTTGCCTGGCAGCATCATGCCATGTGGCACGAGAACAGCACCATGGTCTCCGTTTTCGACAACGGCGCCTTTGACAAGCTTATCCATACTGCCGAGTTCAGCCGCGGCCTGCTGATCAGCCTCGACTACCACGACATGACGGCCAATCTAGTCCAAGACTTTGTTGCTCCGCAAAGATTCCTGGCGCCGTCGCAGGGTTCGGTCCAACTCCTGCCGGACGGAAACGTCCTGGTCGGATGGGGCCACACGCCGGCCTTTACCGAGTTCTCTGCCAGCGGCGAGGTGCTTTGCGACATGCACGTTGGAGCTACGCGCATCGCATCTCTGGGCCGCAGCAAGAATTATCGCACCTTCAAGTACTCCTGGGTCGGTCGCCCGACAACGCCGCCCTCGGTCGTCATGAGTTCCAGAGAGAATGCCGTATACGTCAGCTGGAACGGGGCCACAGAAGTCGAGCGCTGGGTTCTGGAGGCGTCCGACTCCAACGCAGAGGATGCCAAGTTCTTTCAGATCGGCGGAGCGACCAAAGAGCAGTTTGAGACCAAGATACACGTCCCTCGGGATGCCGACGACTTCCTCCGCGTTGGAGCCATTGATAAGCAGGGAAATGTGTTGGGCTATTCCGTCGTCCTAGATAAGAGGTCCGAGGAAGTTGCAGGCTCTAAGACGGAGACGATTCTTGCAGGAATCATCTGTATATCTTTCGTATTGTTCCTGTGGCGCTTTAGGGGGGCTATGCGGACGTCGTTCTATAGGATCACCCAGGGTGTTTTCGGCACTCGGTATAAGAAACTGCCGCAAAGCTGAGAAAGCTGCCACAAAGACTAGCGCCGCACGAGATGTGGGTGCAAGCCGTGTGTGCACCCATCGCGGCCTATATACCTACCTAGAAATGCTTTTTACTGGATCATAATTCATAATTTTTTTTAAACCAGATCATTCAAGGTTGAGCTGTGACTCCAAGATTGAATCCGTAATCGGTTCGAAAAGCCAAAACCGGCCAGGTCTTGCCTTTGATCTGGGGTCGCCTACAACATGAGCTCTACAACATGGTGCCCCACAGTCCAATAGGCGCCAGCTGCTACACTCGTGTGCGCTGAAGCAATGTCGCCATAGCGGGAACAATTTCCAAATGTACTGTATCGATACTGCTGACAAACATTGAAATCTCCACCTCAGAAAGGTTGGGATGTCTACCTACATCGCTTATGAGATTTCGCCTCGAGGTGACACGGAAATTCGTGAGAAAAGCTTTGCGTTACGGAAATCCAATTTGTGGCTTAGGTGCGATCAGTTCTTATCCCCTTGCATCAGTGACGACGATCTTCATTGGAGCTATCACCGAAAGCCCCACCATGTACAAAGTATATACCTTTCTGATGGCGATTCGTAATGTTTGTCTCTAAGTATTATTTTATCCTTCCTCGCCCACATTCCACGCTACTGGGACCGCTGAAAGATTCCTAGCCTCACAAGTTGCCGAAATTTGGGTCTTGACAGTCAAGATCGGCCTCGCTGACCACCAGATCGTGAACGAATACTTCATCCCGGGCGCTTAACTACTCTTGACAAGTCCACCCCATATCCGCGGGAGAAAGCTGTTCGGCTCTTCATCTCCTTGGATTGAATCAAAGTTCTCCCAAGCCCCAGCTTGTTTCAATATGGCAAGTGTATCTCTATTGACATTACAGCCGCCGACGACATATTTCCATGCCGGATTCCAAAACCCTAATTTTGCATGAGCTATTAGTAACTTCCTCCCTCTTTCTGATATGGGCGGTACGTACATTGCGCTACCCTCATCCCAAAGTCATGGTTGACATGGTGCTCCCAGAATATGAGAGTGCCGCCGGGCTTGAGAAGCTTGTACAGACCGCGGGCAACCCGCTGCGGGTCGGACACGGAGCACAGGACCTGAATGCACAACACGGTATCAATACTACCCTCGGCAATGCCGTTCTTCTCTAGCACATCGGTGTCTTCAATGCCACAAGCAATGACAGAGTACTTTCGTGCAAGGCCCATTTTCTGAATTTGGAGCTCCAGGTCCGGAATGAAATGGGGGTTCTTCTCAATGCCATAGACGTGTTTGATCTTGTCCTTGTCTAGGCGAGAAAGCTGATTCCCGTTACCCGGACCTACGTCGAGCACGACGCCTGCCGCATCAGAGACGAGCGCTGGGACTGCGGTAGTGTCCTCGTATTGCACGAAATTAGGACCTGATCAATAGTAAGTAAAACCAATATTTGACTACTCGCACTGAGACTCAGTCCATACTCGAATTCTTGTACCAGGATGCAAAAGCGGCATCTCGCCACTCGGTGAAGTGCCATATAGCCTTGAGACCGTGAGTGCGAAGAGACTGGACTATCGTGGCGACGAGAGCTGCGGCTGCATCCACCAGTGGCTCATAGGGCTCAAGGTAGACGTAGAAGCGTGACTCGGTGGCCATGGTGGCTGGCAACGATGAGACCCCGGTCACTTTGGCGGCAGCGGGAGGGCAGCGCGTCTTCTATTTATCCTCAGGCACCTGCTGCTCGGGGTTGGCTGGCTGAATGCCCGCTTGTGGCACAGCAGCTGCCGCGTTGAAAAGTGCTGGTATTGACAGGGGTGCCGCCGAAACAATAAGGGCAGGTGATATTGGACTCAGTTACGCGCATAGCTCCTAGTGTCCCGTTTCCTGCTGCAACTCAAGACTCACACTAGGAGATTTATTTCCTGTCGTCTCTTGGAAGATTCATTTATGATTCTGCTTCCACACGATTATGTTTCATTTCGATATTTCCGCTGGTCCTAAGGCCCTACTGGGAGAACAAGACAATAAATTGACAATCTAAGGAGACAAGAAGTTACAAAATCTGGACTTTCGATGATACGTTGTGAGTGTTGTAAGCTTTAACCACCATGGTACTGGCAAGAAGTCAATCGCGATGACCGTTGTTTAAAGATGAGAAATTATGTCAAATTTCTCCAATATCCAATGTTTGAACCAGAGAGCCTGTTCAACTTTCGTGGGACAGTACTATTTCGAAGACAATATCCGCGGCCAAAATTTAACCACAAAGGGGACTTGTATTGCACGAGTGTACCAGTTCTACATTTCACGGCTAATTTGTCTTCAAACTTGACTCAAAAGTATTGTATTTTTATCAGTGATTGCAGTAGCTGTTCGAGCTAAATGAATACCATCAAGTTATTTCCTTCCCTGTAAGCACTCCCTATATCTCTCGTGACCAAGGTTTTTAACGGTGTCTCGAATCGATTGCTGAAAGGTTCGATAAGTAATTAGTGTGGAGAGCATTTTGATCAGTCGAGATGTTTTATACCTAGTTGCTTAGCATCCAGTGATGTAAAAGGTATCCTGGTCACGCTTCTCCGTTTCGGCGCAAGCATCGGTGTTGCCTTCGCCACGGACGACGACAGCCTCAGGGGAAGTGGCATCAAGTGGCGCGGCGATGACGCCAAGAGCCAGGGCAATAACGTAGATAAAGCGGGAAGTAAGCATCTTGAGTGCCTTGAAATAGTGATGAAGCGCGAAGTTTGCGGGAACTTGGAAAGATGTAAAGGTGAATGGGAGTGCTACTGCGAAAAGATGTTTGCCGCTTAAGTCTGGGCATCATTGCTTTATACCTTTCACTCAAACCTAGTGGGAGCTATTTGATCCTCCAACTTGTAGCAACCGGATGCTAGGAAGCATATCCGCCACAGGGCCTGCTCAGACCGCTCACGAGACTATAATTCTATGCCGTACTTCTGCAGCTCGTATTCGGGGAGTTAAGTACCATGTTCCCTGAGCCTCAGTCTTGCGTTGCGGACTATATAATATTTTGGTGCTAAGATGGATTTTATAAGATATGTAATGCTGACCATGCCATGCTGACCATGCAATTCTGACCATGGAATGATAACCATGCACCTGAATGCTATGACCCTGATCATTGGCATAGTCTGATTGGCTGCTTCGGCTTGTTAACTTGTTTCACGCTTCAAAGATAGGATTCCACCATCCTGCGTCAACTTGGTCGGTCGTTATCTGAGTGGTTTCTGATTAGCCGGAACCGAGACCCCAGTTTTGCCAGAATCCATACTATAGGTGACGATCGATAACCAATCACGTTGTTTTTTGCTCGCTTCTTATTGTTGTCATGCCTATGCCATTGGATTAATCCGAAAGAACTGAGAGCTCCACACTAGAAAATAAGGGCTTATTAGGCATGGTAGGGGTTGTGATAATTGGCCTCCTTGAACTGTAAGAGGATTCAAAACCCTGCATCCTGCCGCATGTGATCGACTTCCACCGAATCAATAGCGGGACGAATTATGGATGTACAGAGAAGAGTATACTTCTTGATTGCTGCCTAGAGTCTCTCATCGAAGATTGCACTTGCAGATTCTCAACTTTCCCCTGTTGATACAAGCCATTCATGCCAGCAGAAACTGTAATGTTCCAGCAAGGAACAACTTAGCCGTCAATCCCCTTAGCCCTCGGTCTCCAAGGCATACGTTTTTCAGCCATTTCTTCTAATTCTTTTTTTCTCTGTCAGTTTCATCAATTTCTCAAGCGCCAAATAATGCCTTCTGTTCGTGATGCGGAAAACGATTCCCTTGGTGAAGAGGAAGCGTTCCTACCCGACTCCAAAGGCTCTTATGAGAAGCAATTGATAAGGTCTCAGCGCAAAGGGAGATTTCGACCTCCGCAAAGTTGGTCAGCGTTTCTCTTTGTTCAGATCTTCTTGATTGCGGTCTACACGACCACTTTCTTTACATCCACAGAAAAAGATCTTGTTTACTGTGAGTCATTTCATTGCAACCGATATCATCCACCGAGTGTTACTGGTACCTTGGCTGACAGGTGATATTCGACACACAGCTCCGGCTCGAAGCGCCATCCAACACCAGGCAGTTCGTTTTAATGCAACGCTTGTCATTGATAGCCCCTACAATGGACCTCCAAGCCAGGAGGTCGATAAAGCTTGGGGTGACCTACTGGAGAGTAGGTGAAAGCCTTTCTTGGTTGGTCTGGGTCTAATGAATACAGATATGAACATTGCGGTACCCAAGTCCGACATAGAACGTATTGGTGCCACGTCCATCCCGATACCAGACACGGACAACATGTACTTTGCTGGCCTCGGTGTGTTCCATGAGCTTCATTGCATTGTAAGTTTCCTATCCGCTCATTGAATCGGATGCACACCCTAAGCTCTTGCGTCTATTTTAGAAACGGCTGCGGCAGTATACCTGGAAAGAACACTACTTTCCAAATTCCACCGCTGAAGAGGATCGTCTTAATCGACTTCACACGGGTAAGCAAAATATGGATATTGTAGATGTCCTCGCAGACGCTTACAAGTCACCAGACCATTGTCTCGAGATAATGAGACAGGCAACGCTATGCCGTGCCGATATTTCTCTCTTCACACTTCAATGGTCGACAGATAGCCCATGGCCACGAGCAGACTTTTCCCACGAACATCAATGCGTTGACTTTGATCTGATTAATTCTTGGGCTGGTCAACGCCGAGTAGATGCATCCAAGCCTGGAATATTGACGCATCCTAAATTTGGTGAGTTCCTCTCCCCATTGTGCGCAGTGCATTGCAGGTCGAATAAAACTGACTCGATCCATATAGGTGTTGCTTATCACGAGGGAGAAAGTAGCATAATTGGTGCAACTGAGGATATGAGCCCTACTATTATTACTTGATAAAATTCATAGATTACTGTGCCAAAGTCATGTCTAAAAGTACCAAATAGCTGCATGTTTCCGAATTCCACTTAAAATCTGTAGTCTAACTTAATACCTGTAAATTAATGTCGCCTTCAATGCATCAAGATGCGCTTGTGGAACAATGATATGATCGGTCTGACTGCGTTATTGAGCTTCATACAATGATTAGTTAGTCTGCATGTTTTGTTGCTGGGGTAAACATGTCGTCCCTACGGCCGTGAAGGATTTCTCATAATGTCGTAGCTGTTCTTGACCGCTATTCCTCCATGAACCCTGCATTTCTGGCAAACGCTGTCTCCCTTGGGGTGGGAGAACTCCAGAATTAAGGAGTCCGGATAAGGTTAACTGTTCATGTGTTGTGCTGGTCGCTGACGATTCCGACGTTAGGGTTCACCAGCAGACGCGTAATCCGATTGGCTGCATTCCATCAGGGTCGGATCCCGCCCGCCGGCACAGCAATCTGCAGTCATGGATTATTGGATTTACGCGAGTCACGAGTTTCGTGGGTTGAGGTACAGCAGCGGTTATCCGGAGAGGTTGGAAATTACCAATCCATATACCATGCAGCATTGATACTGCGCCGCAAGGCCCTTGCTTGGGCCCTGCGTGGCTGGGGTGAGACCATTCGAGAAAACCGGTTAGGCAGCTAGCTATACCCAGTTCATGTTCGGGTCAGCTTTGGTTAAGCGACATACCGGTGATCATGTAGGTATCTTCTTTCAAAGTTGTGCCCGTCATTCCAAAAGATATCTCTTTACAAGAGACGATAGTCTACCAAATGAGATGGTTGTAGTAAACATGCATTTTATCTCCCAAAAAACATGCTTTCTGTTGGTCAATTTGGCTAGTATCTCATACCAACAATTGGTCCCGGTGGATGGAGTCTCTCAATCATGCTTGAACGCGGTAAATACTTACCCAGACCTCGTCTACTGCCTTATGCTTTACTAATCTTTCCGAAGTGCGAAGAGCTTCATGGGTTGTTTCCCGAACGAACGTTCCTTGGACATGGGGCGCACAGGGAGATGTGGTCCTTGTTTCAATCACAAGTTAAGCCTCAATGCAGAGTGGAACCTGTGAGCCCGGAAGAGGTTGCGGATATCCTCTCGATTTTGCGCAAAGAGCAATGTAAATTTGCTGTACTTGGCGGGGGCACTGCGCCGTTTCATGAGGCTTCCAATGTCCAAGATGGAGTCACAATTGACTTGAAGCTAATGGCTAGCACCGTACTGGACGAACATAACAGCTCCATTCTCGTTGGGGGAGGAGCTGCGTGGGCTGATGTCTATCGTGAACTGGATTCTCGTAATCTTTCTGCGGTTGGAACTCGGAACGGTCGCACAGGAGTGGTCGGATCGATACTTGGAGGCAAGTACAAAACATCTGATGGGGGTTGACCATGACTGACTTGGTACCAGGAGGAATCTCATTCTTTTCACAACGCCACGGGTGGTCATGTGACACTGTGCAGGAATTCGAAGTCGTTCTTGCAAATAGTTCTATCGTCAGAGCTACTGAAAACTCCAATGCGGACCTCTTTTGGGCTCTGCGGGGCGGAGGAGCAAACTTTGGTGTGGTGACGAGTGTCTCTGTGGATGTGTTTCCACAGGGTCCATCTTGGTACAATTTCCAGCTCTTCAATCTAGGAGACATCAAGAGCGTGATGCAAAGACTTGACTACCTCACGAGGAATATGCCCACAGACCTGCAAATGATTGCGACAAATCTTGCTTGGTCACCGTGGCGCAAAGAGTTTGTGCTCTCAGACCGGATCGTTTCTTTGTCTGAGAATGTCATGGAGACTATGCAGATGGATACGAATGCATATGACCCGTGCCTAGACACGCCTTTGCCTGCGGAAGAGCACCTATATCGACGAACAACGTTTGAGATGGCCCAAGTGATGGATATTGTCAATGAGGATGGATTCTTCAATTTCTTCGGCTCAATGACTGTCAAGAGTGGTGTCGAGATTAACCTAATTGTCGCCGATATATTCCAAGAAGAAGCAAGCAAGATAACCAACATTCCTGGCATCCAGGTGTACATTGTATACAACCCTTTAACAACACCAACAATCAAGAAAATGACACGGAGAGGTGGAAATACCTTACGCATTCAAGAGACAGACGGCCCACTTACAAGTAAGCCCTTTGTGGCATCATATCTCGCTTCCGAGTAGACCAAGCTGACTCGAAGTCCAGTCATCAACTTCAACATGCGTTGGAGCCAGGATGCAGATACTACCAGGATGCGAGAATTCTTGCGCCGCACACTTCGGCGAGTAAAAGATGCATCCGAAAAAACTGGGACTGATCATCCGTACTTATTCCTCAACCATTGCTATGAAGAGCAAACCCCACTTCTGTCCTATGGAGCTGAAAATATTAAGCGGCTGCATCGAATCCGAGAGGATCTTGACCCTGATGGCGTTTTCCAGACCTTGAAAGTTGGACAGCATAAACTCGGCCGGCAATATCAGGATGCAGTCTCTTGGTCGGGAAAGACTGAGCTCTGATGCGGATTGTTTTACCATGTTACCGTATGTCGGGGTCTTGTGCTATTTTAGGCAGTCCAACTTGGCAATGCAGCCAGTAAGGGCATAGGACATCGTATGTAACGCTAAGAAATCAGCAAGTGTCATTAAATCACTGAGTCAATGTCTCTTCTCTTTTCCCGATAATACTCGTTGCGCTTTGGCAATTTCCCCACAATATGATGCTCAAGGTTAGGTAAGTTATATTATTCATCTTGATGTATTTCACAGACCGAGCACACAGTTTCGAGCTTAAATCAAGAGTGCAGGAGACCCCAATATGCTCAAGGACAAGGACATGTCCCAAACATTCCCGTCTATAATATCCCTAGAACTCCATACCGCTTCCACGATACTTGATGCACTTGAAAGAGTTCCGAATTTACCCATAGGACCCATCATGGCAATAATTCGTCGAAAATCATTTTCCTGGGCTGGTACTGCCAAACTCCCCGCGACACAAATTGGCCAAGCAAGACTTCTTAGCTGCCCAGGAGAATCAATTGTATCCAGCAGACCCAAGATCTGAGTGATACTAGATTGTATATCGCTGCTGTTGGACTGCCACCCCGAGAGACTGACAGAAAGGTATATTTTTGCTGCGTGAGCCCAGATTCTATTAATGTTTGCGGCGAAAGTAGGATCAATAACTCTGTCGTGCTCAGTGTAATAAGCTTTCAATCGACTGGCGTTGGATTTCTTAGGCTGAAAGTTTGAGTTCACGTCCAAGGCTTGAAGGCCGTTTTCCAGAGCTCTCGATATAGGGTCTGCGAGTTTGACAAGGTCGAGGACTGAAAAGTTGCCGCTTTGTTTAGCATCTCGCTTCCATGCACAGAGAGATGAAACATTTCCAATAGCAACAAGTACCCAATTTTGACAGCCTATCACACTTTCCAAGTGCACAGGAAATGTACTATCTCCTCGGGTAGAGAGGAGGCTGTCGTGGTAGGCTTGCAGAGCAGGTGGCGTGCCTAGAGAAGTGCTTGCGATGATATCAACGAAAAGCAATAGAGACACAAAAAAGGCCAAAGCCGATTGATCGGGGGTGTTTGGGAGAGCCTTGTGATGTTGAGTTGTCATTGGGATGGATGATGGCAATGAATTTGAAAGAACATCCAGGCTCGGCTTAGAAGAATGATCAAGGCCGTGGATTTTGAATACCTCATCAAAGATGCTAAGAGCAGGGGTGAGATGAATTGACCAGTCCACGCTGCTCCGGACAGTAACCTCCACGACGAGTAGCTGTGTGATCTCTTGCATGATTCTGATTTTGTCCAACAATGGGCTCTGTGCTCCACTATTGCTGACTGTAGAAACAGTGCTCTGGATCGATCCGATGGCTAGATCCATTTGCTCAATCAGTTTATCCCAGACCAAGGTCTTGCAGTCATCATGCATATCCTGGTTGTCGCTTTGGGGCACGAGCGAGAAAAAGTAAGCACTCAGGCTGGAAGCCAAATGAAAAGAGACTTCGTTCTGACATAAAAGCCCGAGCAACCACTGTCGTCCGGTCTCAAGGAGAGATGGTTGATAGAAAGGGAATAGAAACGGGAAGACATAGTCTAGATAGATCATGAGGGAACCCAATTGCACCTGGATGGGAGCGGCTGGATGGTTGGTGCTCAGCAGTGTAGGTGCACCCGATGTCCAGGATGTGACTGTGTGGGGGGACTGGCTCTCGTTCGAGCAATCAACGGACGGGGCCGTGTTGCTAGAGCTTGTCGAAGGACTCGACGCAATTGGTGCCCCAAACGGGTCGTTGTGTGTAATAGGGTCGCCCGTATGACTGGTTGGAGCCAGAGCCAAAGCAGGAGCTGGATTAAAACCCAGAAGCTGGCGAGGTACAGGGTCGGCCTCTATGGTCATGATCATGCCATGATCCTCCTGGGCCAGAAGACGTCTCTCCCTGCGCAAGAGAGCATTCTGCTTAATGGCAGTCTTGATAGTCTCGGACATGTGCTTTTGTCGTGACCCTCCGTCCATCCACGCAGGTCTGGCTTCGCCAGAATGACAGGTGATTTCGAGGCTCTGACAACCGCTGCAGATTGGCTGGGTAGAATCACAGCGCTTGCGGCGCAGACGGCATGTCCAGCAGCCTGCGCCCTGTTTCCTGCCAGGAGGCATACTGACTAAGAACGCGCGCGGGAAATTCACAAGAGTTCAGTTGGAAGCACAGTTCTCTGTCATATCTTTTGGCCGCCAATGTTTGTTTTGTAAGGCACAGGAGAGACTGGGTGAGATTAATAATTCAGCTCGTCGCTCATTTGCGGCACGGAATCCCTTATGCAGGAAGACGCCGTGCGGGCCCACGGAGAGTAAGGTTACTGACAGGCACGCTAAACTATTCCATGCAAATGATCCATTACAGGGCAGCAGGCGGCATTTTAGTGCCAAGTCACCCGCTTCCCGACACCAATCACGGTGGATTTCCAATCTTCTGGGTTTCTAAAACCCGCGCGATGTCCTGATTCGGTCATGCGCGCGGGAAAACAAATGCAGCATCGTCTATAGGAAATGTATCGCAACTATTTACCTCTCCTCGAGGATACAAATAGGTGCAATCGCCGCACACAAGAGCTCAATTGCATTCTGATATATTCTATCTAAATATTGTATAGACTGCATATATTTGCCAATTTTTCTAAACTCGTATCTTTTCACGGGGTAGACATCAACAGTATTTCAAAATGGCCCCCATGAAGAAGACGGTTCTCATCACTGGCTGCTCCGAGGGCGGCATGGGCGCTGCTCTAGCTGTAGCCTTTGCGGAAGCCGGCCTACACGTCTATGCCACGGCTAGAAATCCATCCAAGATGGCCAATTTCTCACACGCTAGCATCAATACCTTGACACTGGACGTCTTGTCGTCAGAGTCGATCGCCGCCTGCGTGAATAGCATACCAAGTCTCGACATTCTGGTAAACAATGCTGGCGCGAGTTACAGCATGCCCATCTCCGATGTCTCCATCAATGAAGCCAAGCAGCTATTCGACGTCAATGTATGGGCACAGCTCGCAGTCACCCAAGCCTTCTTACCACACCTAATCAAGTCCAAGGGCATGGTTGTTAACCAGACCTCTGTTGTCGCAGCCGCTGCTGTACCTTTTCAATCCGCCTACAACGCGTCCAAGGCCGCCATGTCCATGTTCTCAGACTGCCTGCGCTTGGAGCTGGAGCCATTTGGAATCAAGGTCATTGACCTCAAGACTGGCGCAGTAACATCCAACCTGATCAAGAACCAAAAGGCCCTGACTTCCATCACCCTGCCCCAAAACTCCATCTACGAGCCAGCGAGGGACGCTGTAGAGTCTGCCATGCGCAATGACAAAATGGCCGATGTGGGCACGCCCCCAGGCCAGTGGGCCAAGGAGGTCGTTGGCGACTTGCTGAGGAAGAGCCCGCCACTCGTCATCTGGAGGGGCGCCAACGCCAAGCTTGGACGCTTTGGGACAATGATGCCTCATGGTATGATGGACTCGACCATCAAGAAGATGACTGGGCTCGACGTGGTCGAACAAAGGGTACGAAAGTACTAGTCGCTTGGCTTTCTGCGATTACATGAAACAGGCTGTTCTCGGCTTGGAAGGCGTTGCATATAGATCCACTGTTCCGCTTATAGCCTCATACTTCGTGCATAGTGAGGCATTCTTCTACACAAAGTGGAGCGCCGCTGTATAGACCGAGCGCCCGAATGCTATGTTTTGAGGGACTTAGTAGTAGTATTCATTATTTTAAGTTGGTCCGATATCTACATATATTCTTTGACGTTGTGCTTGATTCCCACTTTTGTAGCGTGTTCCTCAACTACCCCGACAATAATATCTTTTCCAAAGAGCACGTCAATTTCCTCCAAACTCAAGCCGCGCGTTTCTACCCACTGAAAATATGTACATATCCAGATCAGTACGTTCCATGAGGCATTGACAATATACGTCTTCCATCCAATGGTGTCAAATGAATAAGGAAAGACAAACGAAATGAAGACACCGCAGGTCTTGATACAGATATCCTTAATCCATGCCGTTTACTTACATGCGGTAAGGTAAGACTTCAGGGGCATGCATAGCGGTGAGTAGAGTAATGCCGAAGCTATAAGAACGGAGAAATAGAACGCCATATGCAATGGTACTGTAGACGCCACTATGGCTTTCACCGAAACCATCGGTGAAAACTATATTTGGCCGTCCAATCACTGAGCTCGTAAAAGAAGATAGAGCGCCATCCAGGTTGCCTTTACAAAACTAGGTCTATTGCCAAACTAGTTACTTATATTAGGTACTTTGGCTTTTGTTGCTTGTGACACTGAACCGAAATACTGGCCAATACTGTAAAAAAGGATGAGGAAGTAGGCAAAGCTGCTCCAGGCAACAAGTCTTCGAGCATAAGGTTTTGGATTACACAAACTAGCTTTTCACGCCGTAACCCTTGTGACCACAGAAAATATCTATATAAAGGCCCCACCCCCCTTTGATTGTTGTAGTCCGGTCTAGAAATCTGTTTTTTTACCACCATACTTCCATTTACATACCGACAAAGAGACACGGGTCGCCAACACATTCGTGTGGTCTTTCAATTATCTGAAGACGAAATCTATCTCAGCACAGCTATATTCAGCTCCCTAAGACCTAGTTGTCTACACGCAATTAGCCACAATGCAGATCATCAAGCTTCTCGCTTCCAGCCTCGCTGTCGCGGGTATAACAACCGCATCACCGGTCGCGCAAGACCGCAACCACACCCTGAGCTGTGCTATGACGCAGGACGACAGCAATCATCACAACAACAAGACCCTGTTCCAACTGTTTGGACGATCCGCCGCTGTTCCTTTCAACAGTACCGATATGCAACAGCATGTGGTCAACCAGACAGAGTCGACCGTCACTGGACAGGAGAGCCACAAACGGCACATGGCGGCAGCGAGTGAGGCTGAGGGACGACCGGGCAAAGTTCCTTACCGAAAGTTCCCACCTTGCTACGTCAAATGTTTCGATTCAGAAAGCATCACTTCCAAGACGTCGATGTTTATCGGCGACATTCGAGATCTTACAACTTACGAGTTCTGCGAATCTCAAGCTGGATGGGTTGGAACGTGGATTTTTGATCATCTCCAATACTGCGTTCATGGAGAATGTTCTCACTGCGTCCCTGGATGCGGTAAGGACTCCGGGAAGGTATACGAAGAGATTTGTGGGTACAAGTGGTGCGAAAAGTGTTGGGGATAAGTCGACTTAGCCCAAGTGACATCTGGAGCCAGTCGGGAATATTCAGGCGACTTGCAAATCAGTTATGATTCAAAACTTGGGATTTGGTCTCACCTGAGCCGATGTGTGAAGGGGGAACTGAAGACGAGATGATCGAGGAAGCATTGAAAGTTGTCTGAGTTGATCTCTAGTCTACAAAAGAGAGGTGCTGAAGAGCGACTATATACCCAAGCAGGTGATCTGCGGTGGGTACTGACTACGTCAGTACGACAATATCTTATCGTCTGCTTGCGGTGCTTGCCATTGGTGGGAAGATTCTTTACAGGTGCATTCTAATTTCCCTTGTTCACCCTTGCTGGCTTAAATCCTACACGAAGCACTCTTGACGTTCTCAAATCTGTCAACCCTGGTTTTCATGCCTCCCAAAGCTTCCAGTTCTTCCACCGGCATATCCCTCTTCGACTTGGCCGCCTTACCCCATCCACCGCCCCGTCCCAAGCCTGCACCCGCTAGACTCGAGAAGATGGTCATAAACGCGTTGTCTGGATCATCCACGATAGAATATGTCAGTAATCCAGCCTCGCCAACCGCCTCCAGCATGCTCATAATCGCCTTGACGCTGGCCAAGCCGAGAGATCCAGCCGCGGTGCCGATGAAAGGAACGAAGAACAGGAACCCAGAGATGAAGAACATGATCATTTCTTGACGCTCAGCCTTGTCAATCTCTTCGGCCTTCTCGGCGACCTGTTCCATGTTTCGGACAGCTGCTTGTATGCTCAGAGCTGGAAGCATGGCTGCGTCAACAAGGTCTGCTGGATCTTCGAGTTCGTCATAGTTGGCCATGATGATGAGCACGCTGAGGCGGTCCAATAAGTCTTTGGACTCATCGTAGGAGTCGCCAATAACGTCCTTGGGGTTATCCACCTCAATTACATCGGCGGCTCCTGGATAGTTCCAGTACCAGTAGTCGTTCTCCCTTTGACACTGATTCACATCGTCAGAATACTGGCAGCCGTTGTTGAGATAAACGTGGGTATCGCCAAACTTGATCCAGTCCTTTTGAATGCCGTAGTCGTCAAGGATGGCCTTGTAAAATCCATCTTCGTCCTCTAGCGTGTAGGTCGTGTTTGGAGCAGCGTCTGAAGAGAGCCAATTCCCGACCTCGCCAAACCGAAACTCAGTGGGGCAGGTAATCTCAAACGTGCTCTGCCCGTTCACGCAATCGGGTGAATCATCGCAATTCTCGATATCCTCTTCCTCGCAGAAGTAATGGCAGGTACCGCAGCAATTACGTATGCCCGTCTCCTCACACTTGAAGTAGTCGCCAGCTTTTCCGTTGGCCATGAAGGCGTTGATCTGATCAGGAACTTGCTCTCGGACGTATGCCTCAAAGGTCTCGAACTTGCCATCGTATCCATCTTCTATGAGCTCATCGTACGTTTCCAGTGCGTCCCTCATGATTTCGGCTTCCACCTTGGCTATATAGACGGACATGCAGTTCGCAGGGATCTTATCCTTGCGGTCTTCGAGGTCTCCCAGGGAGTAATAGGTAGCATCGCAGTTGCTGTAGAAGTCTATATCGATGGGGTATTCATAGTCGTCTGGGTAGTCGCCGGCGTCATCGCCTCCGCTGCCACTACAAACGGTCAGTAACATCTCAGAATGTACAGGGACGGGTGATTTACTCCACGAATTCCAACAAATCAACGGCCCAGTCAGTTGTTCCTGCAAAGTTGTATGATGCGTAGAGCTCTTCTCGGTCGGACTTGATCGAGTCATTCATGTAGGCAACCCACTCAGTGTCGTTGAAAACAAGAATGTCTGACCCAGCAGCGGTCCACTTCTTATTGTAGTTGCCAGAAGCAACGATCTCTCCAATTTCAGCGTTGGAAATATATCCGCCAGTGTTTGTGCAGCGACCGTGGAAGGCGTCGGATATGGTTGGACTGCCTGTGAACGTGCATTCAGGTCCGTCGCAGCCAGCCGAGGCCATTTTGAACGAGCGGCCGTAGCTAGTAACACCGACGACGACCTTGTTGGATGGTACACCCGCCTTTGTAATCATAGCTAAGGCATCCATCGTTTCCGTCTCGTTGACATGAGAACGAAGACAGTTTCCAGTTGGACAACCAGGAGACGTCCACTGGTTGCCGTAGTCCCACTGACCATGGAGATCGTACGTCATGTAGATGATGTAGTCGAGCTCCTCACCCATCTTCTTCACTGGGAAGGCTTTTAGGTACCAGTACGAAGCTGGGGCTGCAAATGAAACGGTGTATTTGTCGCCAACAGTTTCCTTGATGCTCTTCAATAGCTCATAGTAGTCTTCGCCAGCTTCTGGGTCTCCGGCGGGAATGCCAGGAATGTCAGGCGCCTATGTTCAGTGTCAGCTGTGTCAATCCAAATTGGGTGTCAGGTGATACTCACTCCAGGATACTCCCAGTCGAGGTCAACCCCATCAAGACCTTGTTCGTCAAGAAAAGCAATGATGTTATCTCGGAAAACACCACGATTACCAGGCTTGACAGCCTCTCGCAAAATGTTGAAAGTGCCAGGCTTGGTTGAGAAATCCCAGCCGCCAAAGGAGATAATCTTTTGGACGCCAGACATGTCCTTGAACTTGTCCCATTGTCCTTGTGCACCGCTGATATCAACTCCAAAGTCTTCAGTGACGTTGGCGAAAGACCAGTGCACGTGCGTGTATTTCTCGATGTCAATCAGGTTGATGTCCATGGTCAGGCAAGGTCGGTTCTTGTTTCAGGATTCAAAGTAAGCGACATGGATCGTCTCGGCAGGCGGGTCGCCCTTGATAATGTCCATACCACAGCTAGCGATGCATCCATTCTCGCCGGGCTTCGACGTACCGGGCGCACCAGTATCGGTCTCGGATATGACACAGAACTCATCCATGAGACCACAATTGCCCCAGACGTTGCAGCAGACATTAAGCGGACATGGGTTGAGCTCGGCCCATTCGTCACTAGTGCTGCCCTCGGGCATCTCGGTACCAGGCACAGTCGGTCCACACTGGGCGCCATCGACAGAGGCAGGGAAAGGAGGGGTGCCCTCACTCAGACAGATTATGGTGCCCACCAAGAGCGAGTCTGGATCGCATCCGTTCCAGCCCCATGTCTTCTTGTTCAAGTCCATGATGTCCTCCTCCTCGAGGCCGTGGGCAATCGCAATGGCGGCGCACCCATCGTCCTTCTTGACTGTGTACGTGGCGCAAGACCCGTCCGCGCCAGGCTTGGGTCTGATATCGGGCAGCTTGCCATGAGTGCAGCAAACGAGTTGCCCAACAGCCAAAGTGGAACAAAAGTCTTCATCGCCCTCGTGAAGCTCGGTAAAGTCAGCCGGTGCTAGGCCGCACTTGGACGCGAGAGTACCGCAGCCATCATTGGCTACTACGCTAATGGTACGACAGGTGCCGTCAGGGTTGGCATCAGGGATGGTATCGGGCAACGTGCCTGCTGAGCAGCAGTACTTTTGGTCGGCTACGAGCGTGTTGCAAAAGTTTGACGCGGGATTGAAGCGGGCTAGAGCAGCTTCGCTGATGCCACACCGTTGAGCAAGCGCCCAGCAGCCATCGTTTGGATGGACCGTTGCCGTCCTACAGTCGGCACGAGCGACAAGACGAGACTTGCTCCAGCTGTGGGCCGTGTCCCCAGAAGTAGCGCCGGAAGAATTTGTGCTTGTACTGTTGCCAGAGCCTACAGTGGCTGGGATTTTGATGCTGACAGTGGTCCAGTCGTCGGCGTTGTCAGCCTTGACGCAACGGCCGTCAGACCATGCCTTGGTTGCATCTTGGGCTAGAGGAAGGTCCTGAGCGCTGGCTGCAATGATACCAAGGGCGTAGTCGGCACCGCGTCCACCCTCACATAGTTGGACAACGGTCGGCTTGGAGATGGGTGTCTCCTGGATATGCTTCAGGAAGCTGTCGAGGACGTTGCCTGGCACACCGTGCTGGTGTACCTCGCGGCCAGCGAAGAAGCCGACGACGGAAGATTGCAAGTATGTAAAGCTCAGCAGGTTCTGCGTGCATGAGGGCTTCTCCACGCCAAGCGAGTTGAGAAGCTGTTTTCCTGCTGCTACAAGGTGTTCGTTGTTGAACTCCTTGCCCTCAGGGGATTCGAGCTCTCCCATGAAGACGGAAATCTTGATGACATCATGATTTGGTGTTGAGCAAATGGCCGCGACGTTGTCATCCGGTACGAAAGCATCGTACTTTGTGTTGAACTCGGCCTTGCATGCTCTGATTGCAATTGGCCAGGCGGTGCCGTCTTTCTTTGTGTTTTGGACGGCGAAGTCCAACATCATGGTCTCATTACAGCGTGTCAGGTCTGGAGTACCAGGGTAGAGAAATGATTTTGCCTCTGACTTTGAGTCTTCTCGGCATGGTGGAGGACATGAATTCATGGCACCTCCCGATGTGCGTTGGTGTGCTGCGCGCCACTCGTCGACGTCAGCCTCTTGCGCGGCGTCGCTCTGTGCGGCTATTGCCCCTAAAAGTAGAGCCACGGTAAATCTGCAGTGGAAGAGCGCTTTCATCTTGGTTCCTTTTAGTTGAAGAATGAGCAAGTAAGAGAGTCGTAAAGGGGGAAAGAAAATATAAGGGAGGATGAGAGAAATGCGAGGGAGAATTGAAGTATGATAGAGAAGATTAGTGTGGCCGTTGAACGAGATGCGTAACAAGAGGAAGATAACAAAAAATATCACAGAGCGAACAGCTGTACCCGCAAGCCGGTGATGTAATACATGAGTCCCACGAACAAGGAACATTCTAACATCAGCCATGCCATGTCATTTCTGACAAAAGGGACCGAAGTATATTGACATCGCTCAAAACCTCGGTCAATATCCAACACCACTGGCAAACCTCCGACACCCTAAAAGGGCAAGTGACACGACCTCCTAGATAGGAAATGTAGGCACAGCCTTCCTCTGCATTACTCAACTCAACAAGGCTGAAAATATTCTAACCTAGTCTCATTGGTTCTAGAGGTTGGATGTACACAGTGACAGACGGGTTAACGGGTTAAAAGCTTGGCTTCGCATGGGGCTCAATGCGGTGGTGGTAAGTTATTGGTTATGGTACAAAAATTGGGCCTTGCAATCCACCGCAAGCTTTCAATATCTTGGCGACATGAGATATTCACATTATCCGATCAAAAGACCGAAGCATATGTGACGTTGTTTTTCTTGCTCCTGAGGATTTCTGAACAGTGGGGTGCAATCCACTATCCCGAACTGTGATAGTTCTTCTGGTTAGACGTCATTACTTTCTTCGCCCTTTTTTGAATATTAGCCTTTGGTTGACATCCCTTTTGTGTCTGAGGATGATTTCTTTCCGTTGAGGACATTTTCCATACTGGCTGGAAGACTTTCCTTACTTTGAAAGGAAAACTGATTTATTTGCGGAAGAAAGCTTTTTTGCTATATCTTTTCAGAATTATGAGAGTGCCACTGCTGCTGGCCCTTTTCACCTTGATCGCCGCCGTTTGGGCAGGTGGCTATCAGGGCGTATTGGAACGAGTTATGCTCTATTATGCATACGAGATTGATCAGCTTAATCCAGAGGGCGACCGCACCATCGGCTTCTGGTGCGGACAGGAAGTCAACGACGCGGGCATATGCCCAGATGAAGATGGATGGAAGCCCCCTCTAGGGCACAATCCGCCCAACTCTAGATCCAACTTCAACCAGCTCGTTGGCCCCCTAAGCAGATTGAGAGGCGACGGCCAGCAATCTTTCGCCAGGGACGCCGGCGGCAACCCTTTGCCGTTCAACGATGGCATCACTGGGCTTGATATAGAGCAGACGGCTCACAACCTTTACCATGAAATTACCAGCGCTCCCGGACGTAGAGTCCGTAACACGCCCGCATACAAAATGAGAAAGGTCACCACGAACAGTTATGTCAAATTTCTTAGTGGTCTGGGCAAATTCGTCCAACAAACGGCCGATAAGAACGACAATTTCGATAACCACCGCGATCTTTTCAAGGGCTTTCAACGAGCCAATCAGCTCGTGCTTGAAGCCCGCATGGGAGACCACGGGCAGCGCCAAATCCAGAATATTCAAAATAGGCTCGCGGGTACCGGCATTAATGTCAAAACCAAGACTGTGGGTGGAGGCACCAACCCCGTCCACTGGCGGTGCTTGGGACGTGGTTGACTGGAAGCGGACGATTGAAGACGGCGTGACTAGTACTGGCAGGCCAATTCAGGATGTCACGCACGATGTGGAAGCCGCCGCAAAGGATTTCTACAAAAAAACCAACAGAGCTGCTGCGGAACACAAGGCAGTCATCGATGCCACGCGGCGAACGGCTCAGAGGATTGACCACTGTCTTCTTTGAAATTCTCCGTATGACAATTGACCTCGTCTATCTGCTTGGGCTCGGCCCCTTGCTTGCCTAATTTTTGGGTGGACTTTGCAGTGTACATCATACACTGTTGTGTCAGTGTCGCGACAGTTGCCTTTAGATTCCTTGGGGCCATGATGTGCTCTCGCGCTGAGTTTTGAGGTAGTCATGATAGCGAAGGATCCGGGTGGAGTATCGGGGATAGGAATATGCAGTGAAACTGCATATCAGGGGATCTGAAATTAAGAGGTACTGCTTGTTCGAAATCTCAGTTGAAGATGATATGAGATGGTGGAGGGGTTTAAGTGCGATCTATAGCTACCCTACAGTAGGAAAGAGGTGTCTCGTTATTTGAATTTTTATTTACTTCAAGGCAATAGAGCAGCATTATCGTAGCTTATCAGGGATGGAATGACATTGACGCTTCATGCTATATGCTCGGTACACAGGTCGCTAATGCCACCCAGAGATGAAAACCTCCATAAGTTATCGCCCAGAGAGACTCAAAGCGAGAGACTTGCGAAAGTCTCGCTTTTATACAGAAATATTCTTGCCTCTTCTCTCCATCATCATCTTGATAATCACCCGTAGGCCACGCTCGTACTAGTAGACTGCAAACAAAGACGACGACTTGTCACAAAATGCCACAGACTGCCACAGACTGCCACAGAGGTAAACGTCTTCGCAAACAGTTATTGATATTGCTTTCCTATGCATTAAATCTCGCGGATTTGTGCCAGCGTGAGATGAGAATCTTCATCGGCAGCCCATTGTATTTCATCTGAGAGTTGGTCAGACTCAGGCGGGTTTCCCTCATTGTCAAACGAGAAGATTGTCCTCCAGTCCGTGACCATCTTTAATTGTTGACCAGTGAGCACAAGCCCACTTCCTTCGTCAATAAACTTTACACTGCTTTTACATCCTGCGAAGCCCCATTCCGTATACACATCCTCCCACATGATGTCGCCAGGTTGCAGCACGATCTGCATCTCTCGCAGCTTGTCAAAGTCGCGGAGAACATTTAGAGCCCCACCATTGGTAGCCGACTCATACCAGTCCCAGTCATCATCGGTTCGAACATGGAGCCGCTGCACTTCCGACTGGTGGGACACAAGCTCGTGGATACCGTAAAGACTCGTGACGCCAAAAGTGTCCAGTTCAAAGTTGACCCATGTCCACCGCGGCTTGGTACCCGCGGTGAACGCCCGCCGGTACGGGGCAAGCTGACGCGACTCGTGGCAGACATGCATGAGCGCTGGTGCCGGCGTCGGCGAAGTCTCGTAGAGCACGTCTTTACCCATATCGCGGTCCTTTTTGCTGAATTTTTCTTTGCTCTTATGGATGCGCATATCGGTGATGCGCCGAGGCTCCACCGCCAAGGCCCAGATGTGGCAGCGAAGCGCGTACGGAAGACCGCCGAAGGACATTGCCCGGGTTTGATTGTAGACAGCAGTCAAGTAAAGACGAGTAGACTGAGTTGGAGAAATTTGCGAGGTTCTGTATCGCTGACGTTGACTTGAAGTTCGTATTGTGCTTCATTCAACGCGCAGGGGTGGTAATGCAGCCAAGTAAATAGGAATAGACTGAGTTGGAGAGATTTGCAAGGCTCTGTGGCGCTGACGTTGGTTTGAAGTTCGTCTTTTGCTTCATTCAACGCGCAGGGGCGGTTATGCCGAGGTATGAGCAGCGCGAACACATTTTTCAGGTCGGACGATGGTCCTTGACTTTTTGGGAGCGGTGATGCTCTGTCAGACGATGGTCCTTGACCTTTTGGGAGCGGTGATCCTCTGTCGGGCGAAGATGAGTGGAAATGCCCCAGGTGATAAGTAAGACCCTTGGGGGCTGAGCCTCCGTATACAGTGATAGTCCTCTCATTTTGCACACTGTGCTATAAGGTTGTGACGGCACAGGCCCGCCGGAAATAAGAGCCGCAAGAGGTCATGCAGATCTCGGGTTAGGACATCACCAAAACAATAACCTGATTGATACAAATGCACGGCGAGGATGAACTGCATGGTAAGCTGATTGTAATCAGCTGGACGTCGATCGCGGGATACTGCGGTTTTCAGCCAAGCTTGCTGAAAGCTTTACTGTGTTTAGACGCAGGCAACCAGTCGATCTTTGCATCATATCGCGACGTCCAATATGTATCGTTACATACACTCGAAAAAACAAGGAGTGGTGGAGATGAGTTCCTCTTGATGGATTCGACCGAGGTTCCCTTGGCAATTGATAACAGGTTCCCCGATGCCCCTCTCTCATGGCTGCTTGACTTGATACTCTTTTCTACATTTTAAAATTTCTCATCGCTCTACTGCTCACTTTTCATTCAGATCAGACCAAGAGGACAACGATCAATCATGAAGTCGTTTTCTGCCAACCGCTCAGCCTTTTTGGCAGCGGTCATCGTGGGCTCACATCTCGTCGCCGCAAGCCCAAAGCCAGTCTTCTCGCACGACCCTAAAACCACCGATAGCTGCATTGACTGGTGGAACAACGCCGACGCCTCCAGGTCCTGCGAGTGCGTCAGAGATCAGTTCAGCATCATGCCTGAAGAATTCGCAGCATGGAACCCATCTCTCAGCGAAGACTGCGACCCATGGCGTTACCCTCTGTCGTATTGCGTGTCCACCAGTGACCGCGATCCCCCGCCAAATGCAACTACAACAACCACTGTCACCCCTACTCCCACTACCACAACCACCAGCTCACACGTTCCCTCCCCAACTTCCTGGAGTGCTAGGGGCTGCTACCCTGACCAAGACCCCGACTTCCCCGTCCTAGACCGCCTGGTCACTGAAGAAGGCGGCGACCCAGACCTAGACATTGCTACCTGCGAAGATATGTGCTGGGAAGCCTCCATCAACGGAACCGTTCTCTTCGCAGGCGTCAAAGCAGGCAACCAATGTTGGTGCAGTAGCTTCATCGGCGGGGAGTCTACCAGCGACCAAAAGAAGTGCGACACACCTTGCGCCGGTAACGAGGAAGAAATTTGTGGTGCCGATGATTTCATCAATGTTTTTGAGCCCGTTACCACTTCCGAGACTCCCTCTGCGACACGGACTTTCTCGTCAGCTGTTGCGACGGAGAGTGATTCCGGGGCTGTGCGACTTCTCGCCTAGTTCTAAGTTTGGTACTTTCTTGTGAGAGACATATCAGCAAACACCATTTACTTGATTGTCTTGTATCGTGCATCTATCCGTGAATGAGCTATTGATAGTCATTGGCGTAGCGTGCGAGCATGCGGCGGAGTCATTACGGGGTGCAGTGAGATGCCGGAGGGGGAGGGTGTATAAAATCAGAAGTGACCGCCCGAGGCCGTGTCGGAACGGTCACTTTGTGGGGCCAACGGAAGCCCGGTCGGGGCGGAACGGAGACAGTCACGCGGGGCGGGAACTGCGGTTGGTCGGGATGAGTCAGCTCGCAAATGCGTTGCGCGTCGTTGTTTTTGGATTTTTGAGGGACGGTTTAGTCCTTGTAGATTTGTGATCGACTATTAGTGATCCTTTATTAATCGGCTGGCCTTGCCTTTGTGCTCCCATAATCCCTTCCGCATGACTAAACGGGGATAGACAAAACATCTTAGTGGCATGGTTTATGCCCCTAAAGCCTAAGTAATAATGCGTTATCACCTCTAGAGCATGAAGGCGGAGATAAGCCCACGATTACGCAGTGTCATAATAGATACTGTATGGCACCGGCCCCGTCCCGTGGGCATATAGGTCCCAGTTCGTGATCGTTTCCCAACGATTGCGAGCATACTCTTTGCCCATTCGTACAATGGCAGTGCTAGCCGTGACAATTATATAATTATCTCTTATTTGTAAACTTAATATTTAGCATGCGCGCCTTTATTTTCGGCACTCGAAACCGTATCTTCTAGATACAGTAACTTTATGTCTAATAAACAACTTTTATATGTAAGATTATGCTCTTTTGATTCAATCGATCCGGCGCCTTAAACCAATCTCCCACTTCTGGAAAGCTCTATTTATAGCTTTCTGTGTTACTTGTGTGTTCCCAAAATGCTTGCCCACAGTATTTCTGACTATCTGGCTGGCCTGTACGTCGCTGTCGTCTAAGACTCGAATAAACGTTCCATGGCTGATCCGATTATGACTGTAGTTTTTGGTTCTTACAAACAAGCATTGCGCTGCCTCGAAAATGCACTCTATGAATTATTGATGTATTTCTATCTCGGACCGTCGCTTCTCTTAGATGCATTACGTCCTAGGAAGGTTCATTCACAGCCTCGTTGGCCTCCTTACTTGAAGGCGTCTTCGTTGATGAATTCTTTCATACTCCAATGCAACTTCTCGTGACGTTTTCTATCATTTTCCCTGGCAAAAGCTTTTTCACAAATTGTACAGATAAATGGCCGTTCGTTGGAATGTGTTCGGAGATGAGAGCGAAGAGCATGCGCCCTAGTATAGCTCTTGGAGCACAACGTGCACTGGTGATTGGAGGGGTTCTTGGCTCTTGACCTCCGCTGTGACTCCTCGGAAAGGTCTGGGAACGTGTCTCCGTCATCGCCAACATTATGGTTCTCACGCAAATGTTTGTCGAGCTCCTTTTGAGAGACACATCCAATGGTTGCCATTGGACAACCATCGATAGGACATATGTAAGCCCGGACATGACGTTCGATGTGCTCATCCCTGTCTGCACGATTTTGGAAGCCTCTCACAAAATAATGACAATGTGTGTGAGGACATTTGAAAACAGCCTGCCCATAGTACTTGTGGATTTCCGCTCTGGAAATATCTGTCGTGTTTGCCTCGAACAAACGTTCCACGGCTGATCGGATAAGAGCAGTGATTTTCGGAAAGTCGGAGAGCTCTTCGTTTTTCTTAGAGTTATGTCCAAGCTGTCGTTTTCTATTCCAGATTATTAATTGCGCCAATGAATTGTAACAATCCAGATCCTTCAACGGAGTGAGCTGCCCTTCCATGGTCTTCGAAACCACCTGAACTTGAGTCGGTTCCGTAAAGTGTAAGTCTAGCAAGTTGTCAAGACACTCGTTGGTCTCAATTATCTCCGCAGACTTAGAATGGGGTAGCCAATCTAGTAGATGTGCTGTCCACTGGGATGTAGCGTAGTCGTAAAAGGCATACGTGCCCGTCAAGACTTCTTTCTCCAATTGTGCCTCGGGAAGATTTTGACTTATTTGAGGAAAGCAGAGGTAAGAAATGCTGATTTCTGCAAGTTCTCTGTGGACTTCTGATGGTGTAATGATAGCTTTTGCGCAGAGATACCTATCCGCGTTGTTAGTGGCTATTTTGTAACGGGTTGAGAATCCCCATCATCAAACTTACTGTTTCAGTGTTTTATGCATCATGTTCAAAGAGCCTACAGAATCAATCTCAACCAAAGATGAACAGAAATCTTTGATATCTCCGACTATACGCTTGCTTTCCTCGTTTAGACGCTCGTTCTCCAAGTCCAGGGAGATCATGCCTTGGATTTCATGCCAGAAGATAGGTCTTTGGGCGCAACAGACCCAAGCTAGCAATCTTTGAACCATCTTGCGTCTGCTCTGACTGCCATTGAGCAAGATGCGAGAAATAATTTTGTCGTACCTAGAAATTATGTAAGTGTACACTTCGATCAAATTCAATCTTTATATCTTACACCCCATCGAGTGCATCTGGGAATATTTCGTTCTTCCATTCCTGCAAAAGAACATCGCGGGAAGGTTGTAGGGACATTTCTTTCAGGGCACACTTTGCAAAAATGAACATCCCTAATTTTGTTAATAGCGGGTCATCTTGAGTGCTAGTTTTTTTTTTTTTTTTTTTTTTTTTTTGGTTAGCTTACCTCGTGATCTCGTTGTTACAACTTTGGCAATTTCAACTTCTTCTGCACTGAATCTGCCAAAGTGTGCTTCGATATCCGCCTGCCAAGTTTCTGCGAACATCAGAATGTCGTGTCTGTTGTTTTCAAAGGTGATCTTGATGGTCGGTAGCATCCCCAGATCTTTACGTCCACACGTGTCGTCTTGGCTTATGAACAAGCAACGTATTTCATCCATTTGGGTTCGGGGAAGAGAGTCAACGATGTCACAGAACCAGGTACAGATCTCTTTTCGTTGTTCCCTACTCGTACACTCGTCAAGTCCGTCCAGTATAATGTATGTTTTTTTTCTTTTCAGCGCCACCTGAAGGAGTCGCTTCGCAGCAACTGCGCTAGACAAAATGACGTCTCCGCTCCTTGTTGACTTTTCATCATCAACCAGAGCTAATAAGGCTTCGTCTTGGGCAACTAATTGCGCCAACAGCCCTCTAGCTACTGACACAAAATTGTTTCTGGCAGGATCATTCTCGGCGCAGTGGAAGAATATTGTCGATACGTCGGGGATCTTGCGGGCATTCTGCACCACAACTGAAGCTAAAACGGATTTACCTGGCATTGGTAATCAATGATGCATGTCTTTGAGGAGCTGCTTATTGGCTCGCGCTCACTTACCTGCGCCTGGCAGACCATTTAGCCATAGCAGCGGAGTCGAGCAATACAAGGGATCAAACCACTTCTGGAAACGATGATCCTTAAGGAGCCAGTCTCCTGATTTTGGGTTTGAGGAACGCGCTGAGACCAGGCTTTCATATATAGCCTCACAGTTGGCCGATGCAAGCCATCGAAGGACAGACTCACGTCGATTGGAACAAGTTTGTCTTTGGCGCTCCTGACTTTCAGCCTCGGCGTGTCTCCTTAGACACATTATCTGCTCAAACTCAATGAGGCTTGCTCTCTGTTCAAGCAATTGTCGATGGCGCTTGAAATTGTCCTTGAGTGTTTGCATTTTTATGTTGAAGCCTTTCCAGGTTGCTTGAAAAAGTTGTTTCCAGACTATGGTCACAAATTAGCCTTACAGCTGGAAAGAAATAAGGTTAAATTACCTTTCTGGGTGAAATATTTCAAACCCTCTGCGTGAAACACCAGTATGTCTTTGAATATCAGAACCAGCATATCCCGCATGTGTTTTTGATTCGAGAAGAGCTCTTGGTAGTGAGAAAGCAAAGGAAGCTGCTCGCCAAGGTATTCATACGTTTCCAAGAGCGACGTGAATGCTTCAGAGAACGTTGAAGTGATCTGTGATTAGATTTAATACTGGTTCTTTGGTATAGAGAGGTACACGTTACTTGAAGAATAAATTTCATAGGCCCCTTTGGTTTCAAGTCAGCAACAGCACCAAACGACTTCAGGATCCTTAATTGCGCACCCAAATAAATGCCAACATTTCTGACGCCCTGACGAACACTTCAATGACCTTACCATAATCCGCCATGCTTGCGAAAAATGGTTGGAGGCGTTTCATATACACCAGGCGCTTTGTTTGCGCTTGACGCTGCTGAATAGCAGCCAGTGCGCCTTGAATGTTCTCGAAAGAAGCATTCTGAAATGACTGTAGCTGGTCGTGGCTCAAGCCTGAAGTCTGTCTGAAATTTTCCAAAACTTCGCGCAAGTCCCTTTCTATCGCGGCGTCGTGCGCCATGTCTGTAGGGGTGACCTGTTACAGCACTTCCGCGAAAGTTTGATCGCTGCGTCTTGATGGTGAAACATGAAGACGCGGTAAAGTTGAAGATGACGACTGTTCCATCTGAAAATGTGATCATGTCAGTTTTCCACCTCTTGGGAACGCAAGGCTGCGCCACCTTGAATGTCGTACGAGGCTGTGCTGGTTGCAGGGAGCTAATCTACCGAGGTACCTAGGTAGATGCAAGTTTTGGGCACTTATGCATGCGCCCGTTCAGACTTGCAAAACTGCCACCTTCCTGCACAGCCAAAGGCGCAGCTGCATACCTGATAACAATGACATCAGCAAATGTTCCCAAGTTTCAAAATCTGAGTTTCCTGAGTTTCTTATGGATATTTCGGATAGACCTGGATAATTGATGCTCAGGACAGTGGCTTTTTGGTCAATTGGTTGATCAGCATTGGACCGTTCAAATATACGCCTGACAGAATGGGTACCAATCGGCCGATTCCAACGAATACACAGCGGGAGCCTGCAGTCGGAACCAGTGACTCTATAGAATACATTGACTTGGAGGCCACGGGAGTTTCTGGCACTGGAGACTTGCCGCTGACAACGTATCCCATGCAAGATGATCTTCAACCATCAGATTATCAAGCACAAGACTCTTGGAATGTGAGCGAAGAGATCTGTTACGGAATGGTAGGTACTAATTACTTTGGTTTGAACCTGAGAAAAGGCTAACCATTGCATAAACAGCTTCACGATATCGGTGCTGAAGTCAGATGGTCGGTAGATACAGTCGAACAAGATACTATTAGGCTACCTGATGGCCTATTCCTGTCTCTTTCAATTAATTTTGAAGATAAATACGCAAAACTACAAACGACAGGTGGATTTCCAACTGCTGTACTAAATAACAGAACTCACCAAGGGCTGTCTTCCATCAGTAATGAAACTAAGGCACGTGCTCAAGTAATAGTGGAGTACACGACTTGGGTCGACGCGAATAACAAGTTTCGCGAGCTCGAAGGAAAGGAGACAAGTTCTGTGTGCTTCCAGACGAGAATCATACTTTCCGGTCTCCGGGATGAAGGGAATACAGTGGCAAAACTTCTCGCCAATTGCAACCTATATCTTCAAGAGCCAATGCTTGGCGCAACACACCTTCTTTACGAGAACCCTCAGTCACTCGATTTACCACATCCCTTATTCACCACTGGTGGATTACAGGATATCCAAGAACTCGAAACCGTTTTGGTGGATGACAGCGAGCATGACAGCGAATTAGTCAATCCCACAGCAGAGGATATGTCCTCACTACTTGTTGATATCGACGCATTCCTAAACAATATGCCTGTCCACGCCTACCTCCAAGCGTATCAAGAGGACCGACGCATTCTATCCAGCCTTTTACCGTTTGTTTTCCTCCAAGCGCCTTTCATACATATCATTTCTGATTGATTTTTCAGTCACCAAAGGGAAGGAGTTGACTTTATGAATCGAAGAGAGATCGGTATTTGCCCGCCTGAAGTAGCTCTTTGGAAGCTGCAATTGTCTACGAATGAGGTACAGTAGTAAGTATCTCATACCACTAGATTCCTTATTTTCCAACTAATGTTTGTGAGTTATCGGCATGTGATCACCGGCGCAAAAAGTCCTTCGATGGCCGACTGCCGGGGAGGCATTCTTGCCGACGATATGGGACTCGGCAAAACCCTAACCACGTTGTCAGCTATAGTTGGGTCTCTAGATCGAGCGCGGGAATTTGCCCTGTTTGGAGGGGATAGGTCTGCCAAAACTACAATCATTGTTGTACCTTCCGAGTGTGAGTCTGACTTGTCGCCTTGATATTGAATTCATTCATTGAAATATACCTGCGCAGTGCTCATGAATACTTGGGAGAATGAAATCAAGAAGTAAGTGACTGGAAATATTGATTATAAAAGAGGTCGACTGATGTTGTGAAGGCATATTATGTACAGCGCTGTGAGCTGGCTCAGGTACCACGGACCGGAAAGGCATGACTATGACGGTAAACTTTCAAGTTATGATTTGATTCTCACTACCTACGGCACAGCCATGGTTGAGTTTCGAGACCGAGAAGCTGCATTATACGGCAGAACTTGGTACAGAGTTGTACTAGATGAGGGTAAGTATGGTAGCCACTCTTTTGCTCCAGATACTAAATTTCCTAGCGCACGTGATTCGGAACTCTTCGAGCAAGCAGTTTGAAGCAGTCAGCAATTTTTCATCCAATATTCGTTGGTGCCTAACAGGAACCCCTATCCAAAACTCCTTGGACGATCTGGGCTCACTGGTGAGATATCTCAAGGTTCCCGTCCTCGAGGACGGCACGGCTTTCCGAAAACATATATCCAAACTCCAGCGAAGCGCTTCATCTCCCAAAGGGGAGTTCGAAAACCTTAAGCTACTGCTTTCATCCATCTGTATGCGTAGGACCAAGAATATACTACCAGGACTAGGTCACATCACTACCGACGTTCGACCCGAATTCTCGCAAAAGGAACGCCAGCGATATAGTGGATTGGAGATTGCCTGCAAGAGAGCTATTACACTAGCAATCGGCAGCAAAAGTCAAAAGGGCACCCATCATGGAGTCATGCAGGCCTTACTTCGGCTACGGATGTTCTGTAATAACGGATTGTGTGTGTCGTCCACAGCGGCTACTGCTTTAGGATCCCAGACTCCTCCAGATGAAGTCTTGAGCTTGCTCCAGCAAGGCGGCCAAGCAATGTGTTCTTACTGCTCGTGTGACATTGTTTCTATTAGCAGTCATATCGATTCGGATGCCTCATATCTCACCCAGTGTCTTCGACTGGTTTGTCACGAGTGTACTGCACAGTACCGATCAGAATATCAAGCCGAAGGAGAGGCCAATTGCCCTCTGTGCCAGTCTCGGCACCAGATTGATAATAGCAGTCGCGGTGATACAGAAATTACCGTGCAGTCCACTTACCCATCTAAGATACAACAGTTGGTTCAAGATGTTCAAGCCCATTATATGCGTGACAAATGGTAAGAGTCTCTCAGCATTGTAGAGTACTAGCCAACTACTAACTTTAGGCAGTGTCATATTCAGTTTCTGGAAGAAAACACTGGACATCGTGGAGGGGTGCCTGGTTGAGCAGCGGTTGAGTGTCCTACGTATTGACGGAGATGTCACCACTCGGAAACGAAATGCTATCTTATCTGAATTTCAGAGCCGAAGCGCTTCCAGGATATTATTGATGACGTTCTCTACTGGTGCTGTTGGGTGAGTTGATTCTACACTCTACCTGTTCTCGTGGTCATAGTCTTCCAAGAATGCCATACCTGACACATCTAAAGGCTGAACGGCCTGACAGTTGCAAATCGTGTTCACATTCTCGAGCCACAGTGGAACCCTGCAGTAGAGCATCAGGCAATCGGGCGGCTTCTGCGCATCGATCAGGCTGAACGGGTGACCGTGATCCGCTACATGATGCGAAGGTCAATCGAAGAGGTACGTCTCTTGAATGGAAGCTTTTTAATTCATTCTTTTCGTTAGTCTAATGCATTTATACGATCCGTAAAGGTGGTGCAATCCAAGCAACATCGAAAGCTGCAATTAGCAGGAGGAGGCTTTGCTTCAGGCGAGGGCAAAGCAGAGCAGCTTCATCACCTCACAAGCATCATCAACCAAAATACGGGATAGTCGTCCGCAGCCGACTATCACCCCCCTAAACTCATGATTCAGCGGATGACAACAAGCACTTCATCTCATCTATTCTTTGGTTTGTGTGTATGGGGGTTTTTTTTTGGTGGTGGTTGGTGGTGGGGGGGGGGGGGGACATGGTTCGAATGTTGTATCTTTTGTTGTGGCTTGTGTGCACATTAGCGGTGGCTTTAGATATACCTATGGCTCCTATTGTCTTATTGTTAATGAGCATGGACGCTTGTTATACGAGTCATATAATGAAACAGGCAAAAAGGTCAGAATTGCGGGGGTAACGCGCAAGAGCCCCCCTCCTACCGATTTTGATTTCCCACACCTCCTCCGAGATTATAAATGTTAGATCGGTATAAAGCTCCACTCACTAACCCTCTGATCTGTCGGGTATCTCTCCCTATAATGTATGCTGTTTGTGTACGGGTTGTGGAAGCTTCCAGCACTGGATATGGAAGTAGATAGAAATTAGCTTCTTTTTGGTGGTAAAATTCCGATGGGAGGTGCTGGGTCACTGCGTGGGGCAAGTAACGATCTAACGTTTATAATCCTTGAGGAGGGTGTATACACTCCATCTATTGCACTGCTTCACGTTTTCTTTCTTAAAATCTTAAAGTGTTCCCAAAACTCTTTTCTCATTGGATAACATCGACAATTGGTCTCCACACCCCCTCCTTCAATAACAACACTTTGTGGGCGCGAGTCACGGCTGGCTGGCTGGCGCCTTTGCTTTGCCCCGCTAATTATCTGGCCCCCTCCAAAGGGCCCGTGCGCTCAACACCAGCACTTAGCTGTTGATTCCGTAGATCCCATTTTTGTAGACTTCGTCTACAATGAAATACACCCAGTATCCCGTACCTTTGATGCCCTGCCGTCATTGTTGGGGGATTGCGACACCTAATAGAAACCACTTAGACCACCAAAAACCATCATTGCCCAAGGCCAACCACTTACTTTCAACTTTCTGACTTGTTGCGAAGTACCGTGCCTGTTAACAAAGATATGATGCTATGCCATCATGCCTGCATGTTGACATGACATCGTGGCGATAGGCCAGACTTTAAAGCAGTCATTATGCAGCCCGTTATTCTATAAAGCTCTCACGTCCGAGATTGATGATTAGGAACGCAAATTAGAGCACTTTACAAAAACGTCTTTTGTCGTTTCGGAATCCTGCCTGGTTGGTGCAGCCTATCAGTCAATACTTCGTACACTATAATGTGCTACGAATAGCACCATCAAGTTTAAAGATGGTATACATCCACGAAAATAATGTGCAAACAAATAGACTCTCACCTGAGCCTCTACACGTCTACTAGGCGGAATAGGTGACAGTAGTCCGTTACGCACATGCGTAAGTCATCTAAGAAGATATCTCTATCTTACAAAGCCAATTCTAGACATTATTCTTGACTTTGGCTCATGATTTTCGCCAAAACTAAAGCTGCAGCTTATGGGGTTGCGGTTTGCTTCTAGCTCCTATTCTTTCGCGAAGAGAGTTATCCAACTCCTACACAGCCTGTCTTGGCAATCTTTTTGCTATGCGTGTTGTACGTAGCGTTCTCCGATTTGCGCTAGTACTCCAATCATCGCATCCCCAAAGCCTCGGTTTTATGTGCTTAACTCCAAGGCAGTTTACCACGCGGCATTCCCCCAGTCCAGAAAGAAATCCTGCGTTGCTCCGACAGATAAAGCCGTTGGTTCTCACTATGGTATTGTATTTTGCTGTCAGATTCTGTGAAACTGTCTTTGCTCTTCTCAGCAGGCTTGTATATTTCATCAACTTTATGCTGTATTGTGGTCGTTGTAGCCATATTCTACACAGTATCACCGAGTTCCCCGTAGAATCGGAGGAAATCTAACAACATGCTGACAGTAAAAGCTTCAAGGCAGCCATCATGGCCGGCTGGAACATTTGCGGGGCTCTCGCGTCAGAAATATTTGACGTGGAGCACAAGCTGGACGATCCCACGATGACCTCCTTTACAAGTTGGGAATCGATATCGTTTGGGGCAATCTACAAGTCTGCACTATTTTGGGTTGCCCGCCGCCATGACGAAGAGTCTAATCGCGTCTCAGAGATATTTCTGGTGCCTTCAAAAGGTTCGTATTCCTCTCGTCGCAGAAGGGAATGTTTACTCTTGTTCC